CTAATGCAGAGTCATTCATTTCTGTTGAGGAGGGTCTGTAGCCTCTGGTGGTAAGCAGTTGAGCAGCAGCCAGTGTGTTTATGCACATAGCTGACAAACATGTTCCCATACAGCCTTATGGCGCCCAACACTGCAGCTGTGGCTCTGAGGCAGAGTGGCGTGCCTGAAGGTAACCCGTCTGGCCCTGTGGCAGAACCAAAAGCTTTTTCTTCCACGTGGGTACAGGTGCAAACTGGAACCAACTCCCCTGCCAGTGAGGAAAGAGGTAGCATGGGACAGGCTACAGGCTTGGTAAGGGAGGGTTTTTGCAGCCTCTCCCCACCCAGTGACCCCCGGGGTGCTCACCAGGGTAGTGACTACTTGGAGAACCTCAACCACTGAAAGCTTACTTCTGCGCACTCCTTTCTCCACCATGCATTAAAGAACCCGCCACTGGGAACAAAGGCCACGTGGCAGCCTGAGCTGACCTGAGGAGCATCAGCCTGTGCCACAGCCCTGCCTTTCCTGGCTCAGGGAGCCCAACTGTGTGGCTCTGAGGGATGGCATCACTACTCTGAGCCAGAGGTGCTGGAAGGCGTTCGGGCCGTGCATTGTCCTGCGGGAGGCCCCTTGGGCTAGCTCCACAGACTTGACAGTTCAGGGGGCCCACTGTGCACACTCCTCTCGGCTTACTGGGTTAGCTCTGAACACTCAACAGCTCCAAACTGTTGGAATCCACCGAGGCCGCTGTAAGTAGCAAAGGGCCTTTGCTGGGGCAGCCAGCCAAGGGCAGAACTGTCTCTGGCCCAGCTACAGAGCCTGGGAAATCCAGTTCTCTAGCGAGGATATTCTCTTTGGATCTTGCCAGCATCTCACCAGGTCCTTCCTGAAAAACATCTGGATCTTCTCCAAAGGAACATGACTCCCTGCCCCTCCCCCTTTTAATACCATCACCTTAGCAGTGCTCTGGGGAGGCACAAATTCAAGGCCATGATAAAAGCATGCTCTGCACCTCAGAAGGAAACCTGACGGGGCAGGTGTCCTGCAGTCAGGCCACGCTCTATCCTCTAACCTGGAGCCCACACTTAGGCATGCTAATACCACTCTAGGTTGCACCATTGGTGAGTTCAAGCTGTAGGCTGCTTGGAAAATGGCGTGTTTTCTCCCTCTTTTCCTTCCAACCAGACTTTTGGAACACCTAATTCAGAGAGAAAGAGACTACCAGAGCTTCCTCCAGCAAACTCTGGAGCAAAAAACTCAAGAGCTATATCAGCTGCAGCTCAGCACGCATGGTGAGTCCCATCCCATCGGAGACCATCATGTGAGCATAGTTAAGATCTGGCCAAAATCTTATTCTCAGATTAAGATTCTGGGCAGCCTTGAAGAAACAACTGGTCATGTCTATCCAGAACTTGTCATTGTAATGGGAAGCAGCCAGGGCTGCTCTGAGGCACTTGGAAGGGTTGGCTTACCCAAAGGAGGCTTAACAACAGTTTCGGGTGAAGGGAAGTGTGTGTGACCTCACTTCATAGCCCTGTGTACCTAAAGGCAGCACTTCACTGACTCAATTCTACCCGAGTCTGGTCTGAAGTTACAGCTACTTCTTTGCCATACAGAATTGAGTAGCTCTAATATAATCTTCTTCATGTGAAATCTATCTCGTTATTTGAGTTGCCTTCCAGAGCTATTCAAGCATTAGAGAAAAAGCATTTTCAACAAGGCAGAAGCACTCTGAATGGATAGTGAAGCTGCACATAGTAAGAGCACTTGTGTAGTCCCTAGTAGTGCAAGGCTGGGTCAGTTCATCATTTCCCATCATCTTTGACTTCTGGTCTTATTGTATCTACCTACTTACTTTGGAAGCATTGGATTTCACACACTAATGCACAAACATTTTCACTTTATCACAGCTCCTGCCAAGGATCCTGGGCTCTCTCAAGGTCAGAGGACACAAATGAGTCTGTTAGACTGGTTGAAGCTACAAGGAGCTGACGCAGGCATCATTGAAAAGGTACCTTCTAAGCGAGGGTACTGACACATGGTAGGGTAAAGACTGAAATATCTGTATGGGTCAGGTTGATACACCAGCCTACTTGTGAGTGCTGTGTATTTGTTATCACCAAACAATGCTGACCACCATAAGCCAGTCTATGTAAAAGCTAAGGCTGTGGGCCTGTCTAGCACGGCTATATCCTAGTATCTGTCAGAATGTTGGATCAGGGATGGGTCACATTAGGCAGGACCATGACACTAACCAGCACATGACATAACCAAGTCTGGGAGTAGATTCTGTGGGGGATGTGTGGGCCCAACCCTTTGGAAATACAAGTCCCACTGCTTAGCTCAATAGTTGGGGTGTTATGGGCTGAGTTAGGTGTGACCACGGAACCTGTCATCACTGATGGGTAAAGGGACCAAAAAAGGTCTGGACAGGTCAAGGCAGCAACACCGAATGTGCATCCTAAAACCGGGTGTGAGATGGAGCAGGCTGCAATGTTCACCAGCTCATACAAGGCCAAGATGGAAGGGCAGTCTATGCTGGGCACTGACTAATACCCGCAGGCATGTATGAGATCTGGGACTGGGAGTGGGTCAAGTGGAGGAACTTGGGGAAGCTCCTCTAATGGGTCATAACTCTCACTGATGATCACGTGGTCCAGGCCTGGGGGTTGGGCAAGCTGGGCAAAGTAGCTCCAATGACTGGCTAATGTGTGGCTTGGTTATGGAAGGGGGCGTTATGGACTGGGCAGGGCTGAGCAAACCTTTCCTCACCAGCAACAACAGAAGTCAGGCAGGAGCACAGGTCATGCTGAGCTAGATTTTGCAAGAGCCAGGGATGCTAGGCTACAGCATCAAAGGCAATGACCTAGACAAGTGAGGGGTTATGCCAAGCTGGGTCAGAGCAACCGCTGGCATGTACACAATCTATGGCTGGGAACAGGCCTGGTTGGGAAGCTAAGAGGACACCCAGGCTGGGTTGAGGCTCCCATTGATGTGTGCCAGAGCCAGAGTGGGGGCTAAGTTCTGGTCTGGATATGGCTGCAGTGTCCCTTGGCACAAGTGTGGACTGGGACTGGGCATGCTGAGACAGCCTAACCTCAAGCACTAAATAACTGGTGCTCTGGAGGACCAGGGTAGATATAGGATGGACTAGACTAGGTCTCTGCCCCTACTGAACCATGTATGAGCTGTGTCTGGGTATAAATGAGCTTTGGCTTGGCTGAAACATCCAACAGTAAGAACCAGAATGGGTTGAGAGCCAGTCGAAAAAGGCCATTGGAAGAGGTTCTGATGGAGGAGCTTGGGAAACTCCTCTGTCAGGACAGAGTCCCTGCAGCTAAGTGCAAGAACCACAATAGGGAGCAACGCAGACCAGGCCAAAGAAAGGTACTCACTGGCATACATTTGGAATAGGTCGGGGGCAGACAAGGCTGAACCAGTTCACATCACCCACTGGCGAATCCAAGCACCAGAACAGAGTGTGGGTCGGGCCAGGTTCGGTTGCAACATATACCAATACACTTTATGACTGGGACTGGGTGCCTGCTGGGCTGGGCTACACTGCAAGCCCCACCAACAGGAGCTAGAATTGGGGTGGGTCAGGCTGTGCCAGGCTACAGTACCCAATGCAAATGCTAAGGTGAGGCAGGCCATGTCAGACTAGGTCACAGCACCCAACTAGCACACGTGAGAAACAGTGAGGGAGGAGACAAAATGGTAGGAGGAATGTGGAGGGCTCCCTTGCTGGACCATCACTCCCACTGGAGAGCATGAGTTGGGATGTGGGCAGACCAGACCAGGCAGGGCTACAACACCTGTGGTTCTCATGTGGGCTAGATCAGGGAAAACCAGGCTGGGCTGACTGGTAAGCATAAATCTGAGAGGGTGAGGGTTGGTTGGGCTTTGCTGCAGCAGCAGCTGGCAGAGGCTGGCACAGGGACTGATTCTGTCAAGTCAAAATGCAGAGTCAAACTCCACTTGGAGAGTGTATGATCCTGGAGTGAGAGTGGCCCAGTTGGGAAATAGTGGGCACCTCCCTCTTGGTTATCACTCCCATTAGACAGCATGAAAAGCAGGACTGGGGCAGGAATGGCTAAGCAGAGAGTGGCACCCGCCAGCACATGTGTGTGGGCTGGATAGTGGGGCTGGTTGGAGTGAACTTGGCTTCAATGCCCACTGACATGTGTGAGGTCTGAATGGGATGTGGGTCAGCTTGGACAAGCCCGCTGCACATACTGGCAAGCACAGGAACCAGGGCAGGGGGAGAGCACGGTGCGGGTTATTGTGGGTTGCTCCGACTAGGCTGAAGCTCCCACTGATTTGTGTGAAGGTTGAGTGTATAATGGGCAGAATCAGGCTGGACTGCAATATCCATTACTTTGCATGGAATACAGAGCTGGAAACAGAACTTACCCAGTAATTGCAACCACCAGCAAATGTATAAGCTGATTGGGGTGACAGACTGTGCCAGACCCTGCAGTGCCATGAATACACAAGTCAGATATCATCTCAGAAAAAGTATCTCTGGGGATCACTCCAACTGAACTGCTGATCTCAGAATGCCAACCATGAAGAGAAGTGCAGGTCCCATGGTCTGATCATGCAGTGCAAGCGTCAAGGCTCAGCCTCCTCAGAGGCTCAGATGGAGCAGTGGACAGCATATCCAGGTGCACATGAAAGATATGGCAGTCCATCGGAACCTGCAGAGGACACCTGGTACTACAACAAAGCATGGAGGACAGAACAAATCAATCAAATACCCCAGCCATGTGTTGGCAGTGAAAATTGGGCAAATGGAGACACTAAGGTGGACTATTTCAGCCAGTGGATTCTGGAGTGATTTCATCGTGCTTGGAATGGCAAGATTTGCAGCAATTCAGAACTGTTGAACTATCAAGACTGCTTGAGCAGTGCCCTTGGAGCAGCGCCCACATTGGGCACCTTGGCATGGGGTGGGAGGCTGGATGGGGCTCCTGCCTTTATTTTTCTCCTTACTCTAGATGCAGGAAAAAAAAATGCAGAAACAGTGGTCTTACCCAATTTCCTGTAGCCCTCGGCCCTTTGTGCCCTAATCAACCATGTAAAGATTATCAAGATATAATAATAATTTTAAAAAGAAGGTACCTTCATTGCCAAAAGCTTGCTCCTGCTCTGCGGCTCACAAGTGCTCTTATGTGGCTGCTCTTTGTTTCAGATCGTTGAGGAAGGCTACTTGCTGTCTGCAATTCCTAGTGACATCACTAAGGAGGATCTGAGCCATCACCACCTCACACGGTAAGAGTCACAGGATGCCCCCCTTGCACAGGGACTGCGCCTTTGAGGCTTACAAAGCGCTGGCCAAGTTCCCTCCCTTTGTTGCCAGGGAGGCAAGGAAGGACGTGAAGGCAGACAGGCCACGGCCTGCATGTCATCTTTATGCAGTAACTCAAAGAAACAAAGGGCTAGGACCAGTCTGCTAAACCACTAGTTGTGACATCTTCTCTACTTGTAATTCAGTCTCAATGTGCCCAGGCCCCTGCTACCCACATGAGAAGGCTGCAGAGAGTTCTCTGGCCAGGGCCTGCTCTTGTGGAAACTTGGGGAGTGAAGCAATCCTTTGTGTCTGTATTTTATTTTTAAAGCTTTGAAGAGCTTTTTAAAAAATTCTGAAAGCAAGGGATAGATCTTGCACCCATTGGCTCATTCCCCAAATACCTAAAAAGGCCAGGGCAGGAATTCCATTGCAGTCTCCCCTGGGGTGGCAGCCTCCCTCATTGTGCAACACAGTATCCACCTTTAACATATTGGTGGTCTTCCACAAGCTTTTCTCAGGACTTTGCCAAAAGGCTTCTGCTGGTCTCTTTCTTTCCTAGGGGTGGCCTCCTCTGCCAGTTCTGGAATGCCCTCTCCTGGGATGGAAGCAGGCTTGGTGGGCCTCGCTAAACCAACCAGTAAGCCCATGGTGACATCGGATTTGTCTGTTATGTGCACACAATACATTAGCAAGATCTTACCATTGTAAAAAAGCAACAGAACCATCATGCCTTGGTTTTGGCAACCTTTATATACATAGATTCAGTGCCCTGGAAAAGGAGTCACCATGCATGCTATAGCACTGGGTGGTAAAGGATAGGTGTTTAAAAATAATAGCCTGGGAGTCGCTGTTTTTGCTCACACATAGGAGTCAGTCTAACACTTAACAATGTGCCTTGTAGCCGATGTGAATGGACAGACGAATTAAACTGTCAGATGGCTGTTAATTTCATTTGCATGTGGAGTTGTCTTCCTTCCCCTCTGCTGCTTACACTGTTCGCCTCAGGACCAGGACAACTGACAAACAGGCTGGGCTACTGTGAGTATACCTGCGAGGGCACAAGTCTCCCCTTCCCACGATGGCAGGGGAGCAGCATGCCCACAAGGCATTGTTCCTTTGACTGACTAGAGAGGATTTGCTGGAAGTGTAAAATAGCGGGGAATGGTTAATGTCTGCATTGCCCCATAGTCACGCTACACAACAATACACAAGCTGCATGCAACCACTCTCCCTTTAATCTACATACCATGTTGTGTCACTGAAAGCTCACAGGGATTTTCATTCCTCAAAGTTGAGAACATGCAGGGGGTCTCCACACCACTGCTGATGGCACAAGCCTCCCTTTGCTGTCTCTGGCCTCTTGTTAACCGACTTATTTAAACTTGATGCACTGACTGGCCCCGTGAACTTCAAAAGGGGGATTGCTGCTGTAGATGTGGTAGCCTAATTCCTCCAGAGGAGGCTCAGGGTCAGCTGTATCAAAGTGCGTGTTGTCCTCAATTTCCTTCCTCACCTTTACATCAATTACATCGTGCTGGAAAGGTCTGTGCTGGGGCCTGGCCCTGTTGACATGCTGTCCATGTCATTTTACCAAACTGCCCCTGGGTTCTGTTTTAGGGACCCATCCTAATGGAGCTGCAGACTTACTGTTATCACAGACACAGTATGAGTGATCCTGGAGTGAGGCATGCTCAGGGAAACGGAGAGGGTGTTCCAGCTTAGGTGGGCTTTGCATGCTACCGCAGTAGAGCAGTCCAACGTTGGCTTTTAAATCCACGCACCAGTTTGCTTCACTTGCCAAATTGGTGTGTTGACATTAAGTGTTAGTCTGAAAGCAATGCCACCTAAGAAATTGCTTCTAACACGGAAAGCATTGTGGAAATTCCTCCACTATAGAGTAATAAAAGCAAGCTTTAAGTCACTTGGTTCCATAAAGAAATGAGACGGGTGTAGCAGTATAGAGTAGTGGCTCTGGGGGCACTGAGCAAATGGCAGAAAGTCCTTCCGAAGGTGGTCAGGATTTGGGAACGCTCTAGGAGATACAAAGCAAAGTTAACTGGCACATGGGGACTTCTGAAATCCAAATAGGTCAATCCAAAAACCCAGGCTATACTGGGACAATGGGGGAAATGTCTGATCTGCCACCTCCAGTATGATAACAGTGGAAGTGAACAAGCCTCCTGTAGAGTGAACTCTATGGGAGAATGCACTGTGGACATTGTTGGGTACCATGGGGAAAGGCTCTAACAGTGTCACAGTGGAGAGCCTGGAATCCCCAGGTATGCTGGCACTGCTGCTTTGGAGTGGGAAGGGAGAAAAAGAGAGCAGGTGTGTCTTCCTGCTGATGCCTCAATCTATGAGGGCCATTGTTCACCACGCAGTTCCATGGCCCCTATGCATGTCTTACATCCACAGCAGATGCAGGCATGAACTTGACCCCTGCAGGAGTCATGGAAACTGCCAGCGTAGTTTGACATTGAAGCCTATAGCTCTACCGCTGCTTGGGTCTCTCAGAACAAAGTCTGCTATTGCCTTGAGGACCTAAGGAGAGACTTGAAAGCAACAGTTGGATATGCTGCAAAGCCAAAAAGTTTGAAATCTAGGCAGGTTTCTGTCTAATTTTCAGGCACCACAGTAAAATCCCAAGGCTCCTGTCATCTCGGATATATTTGTATTTTGCTAAGCTGTCTGCCTCTGTTTCCCTCTCACCATTTACCACACATGAAAATGGATTCCGGAAATCAGAAGTAAGAGTGACCCCATCATGCCTAAACTGGACTTTGTGCACACTGTAACTTGCAATTGCTGGGTCAGGTCTGTCTCAAGTCCGGTCTTCTATGCACACTAACGGGTATTGCAGTCCAGCCTGATCCTGCCCACCACACCCTCAGTCCCCACGCAAACCAGTGGGAGTTGCAGCCTAGTCTGAGCAACCCACAAAAGCCCCATCAGACCTGCCTCATTCCCTGGTTCCCCATGCTTACCAGTATGTACAACCAACTGGTCCTGTCAGTCCCACAGCCCAATCAGTTCTCATATGAGTCAATGGGTGTTGAAGCCCAGTTTAATCGAACCCACCCCACTCTCCAGCCCACAACTGTGCTGCTGGATGCTACTCTGTCTAGCCATGCCTGTCCCAGTCCTGGTTTTCATTCTTACCAGTCTGCATTACAAGCCAAGAGGAAGGTGCCCACTGTTTCCCTACTCCCAGATCTTGCATTCTCCAGGTGGTACTGCAGTTTAACTTCACAGACATGTCCTTCCATGCCAGGATCTGCTCACTGATACTGTGGCAAAGCCCAATAAACCCTCGTCCCATCCGGTTTGTGCTTGCACCAATAGGTATAGTCTACACAGCCTGGCTTGTCTCTGATCCAGTTTACATTCAGGCCAAAAGGTATTGTAACCCTGTCTGGCCTGGTCTGCTGTCAATCCCAGCTCTCATGCTCACCAGTGGGAATAGTGGTCCATCAGGGGATCTCCCTGCAGTCCCCCATCAGTTCACCTACTCTCCCCCAGGTCTCATGTGCTGGTTGAGTACTGTGGCCTAGTCTGTTATGTATTGCCTGCCTCACCTCGGCATTTGCCAGTGAGTGCTACAGCCTGGCCTGGCCTTGTCCACCCCCACTTCCAGCTCACACTGGTGGGGACTACAGCCTAGCCAGACCAGCCAGCCCCCAATCCCAGCCTTAGTGTGAACTGGCTGGTATTGCAGCCCAAACAGTGACACACAACTCATTCTGGCTCTCAGATTTGCCAGTGGCTGATATGAACTGGCCCAAAGGTAAGCCCATAGGTACTGTAACCTGGTCTGGGCTATTCTCTTTCTTGCTTCTTGCACTCCCCTGCAGGGACTGTGACCCAATAGGAGAGTTCCCCAATCTTCTCCATCAAAACCTCTCCTAATACCAGAACTTACAAACACCACTGGGTCCATGGGCCAGCCCTACTTATTGCACCTCCTGTCCTCATAGGAACAGTGGCCTTTCCTGAATGGCCCTCATTCATTCTGGTTCTTATTGTTGGGTGCTGCAGCCCAGCCTAGCCTAATCTGAACCCAGACATAGACCACACATAGCTCAGCAAGGATGGAGATCTGGCCCAACCCATCCTACACCCATCCTGTTTCTCACCAGCTCCGATAGGTGCTGGAATCCAGCCCAGTATTGCATACGCCAAAACCAGTCCACACCCATACAGAGGCATTATTTGTAGGGTTTATAGGGTGGTGAAAATTCTCTTCATTTCTGTTTGTTTTGGAAGTTCTTTCTTTGGACTTTCTCTATAAATGAGAGCTTTGCTGGTATAATGTTCTGGGTTGGCAATTTCTTTCTTTCAGTTCATGAATTATGCCTCTCCATTTCTCTTAGACTGTAAGGTTTCTGATGAGAATTCAACTGAAAGCTTGGTTGGAAATCCTCTGAAAGTAACATGTCTTCCTTTCTGCACATTTCAGTCTTTGTTTTACTGGAGAAAGATGACTATAATCTATCAGAGTTTTATATGATTACTCGACTTGAATACCCATTTCATTCTTCATAGTAGGGAAAGCGTTCATTATTATTTTGCTAAAGAGGTTTTCAAACTCATTCTTTCCACACCTTCAAGAACTCCTAATGCATGCATGTTAGGCCATTTGAAAGTACCCCATAGGTCTTGAGCACTATTTTTGATTTCTCTTATTTCTTCCCCCCCTGCAGTTGCAACTGCAGGGTCAATTCTGACTCAAGTCTTGTCTTCTACACAAACTAATTGGTGTTGGAGCACAGTCTAATCCTGCCCATCACATTCAGGCCTCACGCAAACCAGTGGGAGCTGCAACCTAGTCAGAGTGACTCACAATAACCCCACCAGTCCTGCCCCATCCACTCATTCCTGTGCCTGCCAGTATGTACAGCAGACTGGTCCAGGTCCAGGCTATGACACATCCCATTCAGGTCTCATGCATGTCAATGGACATTGAAGCCCAGTTAAACCCAACCAGCCCCACTATCCAGCCCACACAAGTGCCGGTGGGTACCACTCTGTCTAGCCATGTCTGCCCCAGCCCTGGTTCTCATGATCACCATCGGAGCAGCATCCCAGAGAGGGAAACACCAACTACTTTCCTACTGGGCCCACACCCACTCCCAGATCATGCACTCTCCAGGAGTTTTGCAGTCTGACTTGACACAATTAGCCCCTAGTGCCAGCCTCTGCCAGCTGATGCTGCAACAGAGCCCAACCAACACTCACCAACTCTGGTTTATGCTTGCACCAGTAGGAACAATCAGCCCAGCCTGGCTTTTCCCTCATCTAGCTCACATGAGGGCGGCAGATTTGGTAGCCCTGCCTGGTCTGATCATGCTCTCCAGCAAGAGCGGTGGTCCAGCAGAGTAGCATTCCACATTCTCCCTACCAGCTTTGTCCCCTGTCCCCCATTTCTCATGTGTGCTATTTGAATGCTACGGCTCAGTATGGCATGGCCTGCCTCACCTTGGCATTTGGCAGTAGCTGTTGTAGCCTGGCCCACCCCAATTCCAGTTCCCACTGGCAGGGTTTGCAGCCTAGCCCAGTCCAGCCGGTACCCAGTCCTAGCCCTTATGCATACTGGTATGTGTTGCAACTGAACCCAGTCCCACCCACACTCTATTCCAGTGCTCCAATTCACCAGTGGGTGATGTGAACTGGTTCAGTCTTGTCTGCCTCTAATGTATGCCGGTGGGTACCTTTCCCTGCCTGCTCTGTGCTGCTCCCTATCATGGTTCATGCCCTTACTTGCAGGAACTCTGTTCTGACAGAGGAGCTTCCTAGGCTCCTCCATCAGAAGCTCTCCCAGTGCCAGATCTCGCACACACCAGTGGGTCCATGGGCCAGCCCTGCTTAGTCCACCTCCTGTCCTAGCATGAACAGTGGCCTTTCTTGACTGGTCTTCACCTCATCCTGGTTCTTACTGTTGGATGTTTTAGCCCAGCCAAGGCTCGTCCTCACTCAGACACGACTCACACATGGCTCAGTAGGGGCAGAGACCTAGCCTAGTCCATCCTACTCCTACTCTGGTCTTCCAGAGCATCAGTTGGTGCTCGAGTCTAGCCCAGCTCAGTGCAACAAGCCCCAGTCCACACTTGGGCCAAGGACACTGCAGCCATATCCAGACCAGAACTTAGCCCCCACTCCGGCTCTGGCACACACCAATGGGAGCCTCAACCCAGCATGGGTGTCCTCTTAGCTTCCCAACAAGGCCTGTTCCCAGGCATAGATTGCGCTCATGTAAGCTGTTGCTCTGACCCATCTTGGCATAGCCTCTCATCTGTCTTGGCCTTTGCCTTAGATGCTGTAGCCTGGCATCCCTGGATCACGCAAATGAGTTGAGATAAGAGTCTAGCTTGGCAGCGTGGCATGACCTGTGCTCCTGCCTGACTTCTGTTCTTGCTGGTGAGCAAAGGCTTGCTCGGCTCTGCCCAGACCACCCCTTTCCATAACCAATCCACACACTAGCCAACAGTTGGAGCTACTTTGCCAGCTTGCCCGACCCCATGTCTGGACCATGTGATCATCAGTGAAGAGTTACCACCCACTAGGAGGGTTCCTCAGGTTCTCCCACTCAGCCCACTTCAGAATTGATACAGCCTCCTCAATCAGATTAGAAGGATTTTCACAATTTCTTCTCCAACTCATCTCAAAGAAAAGATATTATCGCTTAAAGCTTCAAACACTACACAAATGGCCTCCCATTACCAGTCAACTCTTCTCCAACAGTCAATGAAACCAAAACCCTTGGGGGGTCATCTACAGACAAAAGGCAATCCCTATCAAAATTTCAGAATTTGTTATTTGGTAGAAATTCAAACATCCTTCTAAACTTCACATGGAAACATAAATGGCTGGGAAATTCGAAAAAAAAAAAAAAGAACTTCTACTATCAGATACCATAGTTTCTTTAAAGCTACAGTACTCAATTAAAAAAAAATGTATTGTACCTAAGCTGATAACTGTATGGAAACAGGTTGAATACAAACCAAAATTGAAATGTCTATGAAGAAGTCACAGCATGTAGTTAAGAAACCACATCTTCCCCATCAACATACTATTAATCAATGTCATGTCGATTGATGCCATGAGGTTGTAAATGGCTATTGAGGGCATGTCAGGGCCTTTAATCATTTGGGATGAAGCTTAGTTGGACTTACCTTCAGACCAGAGATGGTCTCACCAAGAAATCGTTGAACCCACTAGGATAATAAGACACTGAACTTTATGCTTGGTAAATATTTCCAATGAAAGAACCACAACTGAATTTGAACTGTGGCAATGCAACAAGGTGGAGAAATCCACCATGGGGAAAGGGTTCAGGGAGGGGTTGGGGGAATCCCAGTGCAAATAACACTGTGTCACATAATGCAATACAATTAATAAAAAAAATAATAATAAACATTTTCTGTGCATTACAAAAAAATAAAAAAAAAGAAAGAAAGAAAGAAAGCTACAGTACTCAAAGCAGTGTGCTACTGAGATTTGCAAAGAAACATAGAGTAGAACCAGACACAGACAGAGTAGGTATTCCAAGACCACCAATGGAGGTTTGAAATAGAAGATACAGTTGTTTTCTGCAAAAGTTTGATTTATACATTAGGTACAGTATGAGATTACAATGAAATGGAATAATCACAATAACATACTATGCTAAGAGTTAGGTGAATATACCCATTGATCTTATTTTAATTTCACTTTTCCTATGAGAGAAAACACTTTATGACTTCTCTTGAGCATATTCAAATGGCTAACATTACTACTGTTGTATTTTGAGGGTCTGATGTGATGGTTCAGTAGCTAAATCCTCACTTTGCATGCGTCAGGAGCCCATGTGGGCACCAGTTTGTGTCCCATTTGCTTCACTTCCCATCCAGCTCCCTGTTTGCGACCTGACAAAGCCTTGGGACCTGCACTCATGTGGGAGACCCAGTGAGGCTCCTGCCTCTTGGCCTTGCATCACTTCAGCTGCAGCCATTGTGGCCACTTAGGAAGTGAACCCCCAAACAAAAGACGTCCCTCTGTGTCTCCACTACTCTGCCTTTCCTATAAAAATAAAAATCCTAAAAAAAAAGAGGAAAAGCATATCTAGTTATACCAGCATTGGAATGCAATGAGAGCCAGTCCGATAATTAAGATGGATATTAAACAGGGGCAAAAGCATAAATCCCATTCCAGACAGGACGAAGGGCCACACAAGTAAGATTTCATCACAGTATTCAGAATACCATACAACTAAAAACTTCCGAACCGCTTCATACTAAAATTTTCCATGCAATATTTTAATGCAATTGGCTGTAGGTAATCAAAACCACAGAGCAATGTATGAAACCATGGGCTGATTTAGGATTGGGGATAGGGGAAGACCATTGCAATCCAATATGACAAACCAGGTCAGAAATAACACTGTACATTAATGCTCAACTGATTCTCAATACAGGTAGCCTAGCTAAATCAGTTGAACAAAACCATTTCAAACAAACACTGCTCATCACAACTGAATATTCATAAGTCCTCCGTCCCAAATAACCTGCGTATGCACCTCATATGTTATACACACACAAAAATAAACAGTTCAAGATGCACCATGAACCTCAATGTAAAAGCCAATAGTTACAACCCCACTTGTGAGACCCACATCCCACACGCCAGTGCCTGAGTTCAAGTCCCAGCGCCATTCCTAACTCAGCTTCCTGCCTGGCAGACAACAGATGACTGTGTAAGTACCTGAATCCCTCCCACAGACAAGAGAAATCTGGATTGAGTTCCTGGTTTTACCCTGGCTGGGAGTGAACCAGCACATGGAAGCTTTCTCGCCTTCTCTCTTTCAATTAAAATGAAAAGAAGGGAAAAAGTGAACTCAAAAGGAAATGATCTGTAACAAAAGCCAAAACCACAGAACTTACACATGGAGAAAAAAAAATGACTACAGCCACAGATAAGGAAAATACTTCCTAAATGATACTAAAACCGAAACTAAAATCCATCAAAGGAAAACAGGAATCTGCAAACCATTCTTCAAGCAGATACTATCAGAAAAATGAAACCATCAATTACAGATGAGAATAAAGTTTTTGTAAATCGTGTGTCTAAGGACTTGCATTTAGTATAACAAACTCTTACGAGTATACAAAGCCATCCCAACAAACACTCCACTGAGGAAGATACACAAAGGGCTAAGGAACAGAAAACCATGCAAATCATCAGTAGCCTTTAGGAAAATGCAAATGAAAACTACAAGGAAATACCAGTACACACCTAATAAAATGGCCAGAACCAAAACAAGAGACAACACGTGTTTGCCAGGACATGGAAAAACTGCAAGCCTCTACATTACTGGGGGAATGTAAAAAGGTTTAACCACTTTGAAAAACATTGACAGTTTTTTAAAATAAATATAAATGTAATACAACACCTAGCAATTTCACTCTTTATTAAGAGAAATGAACACATATGTCCAACCGAAACGTTATACATAAACAGGCATATTATTTTTTTTGTTTTGTTTTGTTTTGTTTTTTTAAAGATTTATTTTTATTATTTTTTCATTGGAAAGGCGGATATACAGAGAGGAGAGACAGAGAGGAAGATCTTCCGTCCGATGATTCACTCCCCAAGTGAGCGCAACGGGCCGATGCTATGCCGATCCGAAGCCAGGAGCCTCTTCCGGGTCTCCCACGTGGGTGCAGGTTCCCAAAGCTTTGGGCCGTCCTCGACTGCTTTCCCAGGCCACAGGCAGGGAGCTGGAAGGGAAGCGGGGCTGCTGGGATTAGAACCGGCGCCCATATGGGATCCCGGGCGTGCTAGGCGAGGACCTTTAACCACTTGCGCCACCGCGCCGGGCCCGAAACAGGCATATTATTATTCCTAACGTCCAAAAGCTGCAACAATCCACTGTTCAACTAGTAAACAAGTCAAAAGGTACATAAACCCAATGGAGTATTTTCACCAATAAAAACAAATGAAGTGGGGCCCAGCACAGTAGTCTAGTGGTTAAATCCTCAATTGGCATGCTCCGGGATCCCATATGGGCACCATTCAGGCCCTAGCTGCTCCAGCTTCCCATCCAGCTCCCTGCTTGTGGCCCAAAGCCTTGGGACCCTACACTCACGTGCGAGTCCCAGAAGCTGCTCCTGGCTCCTGGCTTCAGGCTGCCTCAGCTCTGGCCATTGCAGCCACTTGGGGAGTGAACCAGTAGATGTAAGATCTTTTTCTGTCTCTCTAAACTTGCCTTTCCAATAAAAAAAAATTTTTTAAATATTCTCCCCCAAAAGTTTTATTTTTATTGGAAAGGCAGATTTACAGAGAGAAAGATTGTTTCATCCATTACTTCACCCCTCAAGTGGCCACAACAGCCGCAGCTGAGCTGCCAGAAAGCAGGAGTTCCTTCCTGGTCTCCCATGGGTTGTGGGTACCAAGGCTTTGAGTCGTCCTCCAATGCATTCCCAGGCCACAGGCACGGAGTTGGAAAGGAAGTGGAGCAGCCGGGATACAAACCACAGCCCAAATGGGATCCTGGCACATGCAAAGTGGGGATTTTGGCTAACAGGCTACCACACCAGGCCCAATTTATCCACTTCTAAGAAAAATGTTACAACTCACCATAATACTGACACCAGACTGGAACAGCTCATATGGGCAGAGAATTCTTTCATAGTGCGACTTCAAAAGAGACCCAGTTCCTTTCCTGGCAGATTTCCCAGTGCCTATCCACTTTAGACCACTTCTTTTCTTTTATGAACATTTTCAAATCTCCTTTGCTGCCAACAATCTGAGTTTTTAAAAAGTAAAAATTAGTATTTAAGTAGAGGCAAGCATTCTCTGTTGAATACATAAACTACTCTGTGGGCTGGGATTTTAGATTTCAACAAATAAATGACAACAGTGACATCTGTAATATTTACAGGCAAACAACAAAATCAAAAATTAAATTAAAAACAATTTAAAAATTAAAGCTTCTTTGTTGTTGTTAAGATTTATTTACTGGACCCAACATGGTGGCTTAGTGCCTAACGTCCTCACCTTGAACAAGCTGTGATGCCACAGGGGTGCATTTTCATGGCCTGGCAGCCTCGCTTCCCACCCAGCTCCCTGACTGTGGCCTGGGAAAGCAGTTGAGAATGGCCCAAAACCTTGGGATCTTGCACCCATGTGGGAGACCTGGAAGAGGCTCAAGGCTCCTGGCTCCTGGCTTCAGATCGCGCAGTACCACGCTTTCCAATTCACTTGGGGAGTGAATCATCAGACAGAAAATATTTCTCTCTTCTCCTCTGTGCATATTTGACTTTACAATAAAAATAAATACATCTAAAAAAAAAAAAGGATTTCTTTATTTTTGGAGCCAGTGCAATAGCATAGTCGCTAAAGTGCTAGACTTGCATACACCAGGATTCTATATGAGCACTGGGTTCATATCGCAGCTGCTCCACATCCCATCCAGCTCCCTGCCTGTGTCCTGGGAAAGCAGTCAAAGATGGCCCACACCCTTGGGACCCTGCACCCATGTGGGAGATCTTTAAGAATCTTCCTCCTGGCTTCAGAATGTCTCAATTCCAGCCGTTTTAGCCACTTGCGGAGTGAACCAGCAGACAGAAGATCTTTCTCTCTGTCTCTCCTTCCCGCTGTATATCTGACTTGAATAATACTTGAATAACACTTCCTAAACTATAATAAACACATAGATACATAGATAAAACTTCAAAACTGGGGCTCCTTTTCTCGTCCCAGGGAAGAATTGTTCAGGTAGCAGCGGTGGGGGGACAGGCCAGCACGTACACCAGCTCGCGCTGCATACAAACACCACCCTGTAGCCCACCAACACATACCAGCATTACGAGAGGAACGAAGGAAAGAAAGGAGAAAGGGAGGAAGGGAGGAAGGGAGGAAGGGAGGAAGGAAAAGAAAGGAAGGAAGACCAACAGCCCCGAGGACAGAAGTGGAGCAGGCCTTGCAAGACAGCATGAACCCGAGGCACCTGTGCCCACTATACCCAGAGACCACACTGAGTGCCAGGCATCAGCCTTCCCTCTCGTCCCTGCACCAAGGACTCCAGCCCTCCCAGACAACACAAAGGACTAAGACACTGCCTGCCCTCGTGGCACCCACACCAAGGGCAAAGCCACCACCTGCACTTCCCCATCCCAAACAGAGGACCAAGTCACAACCTGCGCTCCTGGAACCCGTGCCTAGGGCCAAGTCACATCATGCCTTTCATGGACCGCGTCCAACCAAGCTGCCACCAGCCCTCCCAAACAATGCACAAAGGGTCAAGACACGGCCTGCGCTCTGCTGGACCCTGCACCTTGGGACAAGACACCACCTGCCCACCTGGACCCTGCACCTTGGGACAAGACACCGCCTGCCCTCCTAAACCCTGCACGAAGGCAAGCGGTCACCTCCCCTCTTGCACTCACGCCATGGCCAAGCTACTGCTTACCTTTGGGACCTCAAGAACATGGCAAGCTGCCAGCTGCCCTTAACGACACCAATGGAGGCCCAAGGCGCGGCCTGCGCTCACAGACACTGCCGAGGATCTAGAGACCAACTGCCCTCAAGGACCCCACGCCAATGACCACGCCACTAGAGGCCTTCCCAGACCCCATGCCGAGGGCCAAGCCGAGGCCAGCCCTGCTGGACCATGCACAGAAAGCAAACCGCCACCTCCCCACCCGGACGGACCCCGTGCTGATGGCTAAGCCGATGCCTAACCTTCCAACACCTTGCTGAGGACCAAGCGCCCGCTTGGCTTCCAGGAACCCACACTCAGGGCTAAGCCGCGGCCCATCCTCGTAAACGCCGCACCAAGGCAAGCGGACACCTTCCCCACCGCCTCCCCACCCCCAGTGCAGGCCTGCTGAAGGCCAAGCCGCTGCTTCCCCAGCTGGACCCGCACCCAAGGACAAACCACCACCTCCCCAGCTGGACTCACATCCAAGGACAAGCCGCCGCCTCCCCTTCCCGGAACCCTGTACCTCGGGGGGTCTTACCTTGTAGATGTCCAGTGGGTCTGTGGACTCCTCCAGCGACGTCCAAAAACCAGGCACTATGGCGGCGGCACCAACTCCACCTAGTGCTTAGCCAGCCCCACGTCCACCATGGCGGCCACCGCAAGGCCCTCCCCCGGCAGGGTGCAGATGGACAGCACGTGGGACGTGGGCTAGCTGGAGTCCATGAGCCCCGTCACATCCACTCACGGGGCCCGCAGCGCGTCTTCCAGCAAGAGAACTGTTCCCCATGGAGAGTCCAGCGAAGTCCTCTTCCTCCTCTGCTTCTTCGCCAACTGAGGGTGCGGGGCCGCAGCTCCTCACAGGAAGTGACCGTGCGGCCAATCCCTCCGCGTCAGCACCATGCAGTATTCCTCCGCCAAAGGGGACCTTTTCTTCCTCCTCCTGGACCCTATGGCGGCTATGCCTGCTCTTCTTGCCCCGGTAAGTTCTGCAGGACTGGGCCTGGGGCTCCTTGCAGAGATGGGGCCTGGGGCTCCTTGCAGAGCTATGGCCTGGGGCTTCTTGCAGAGCTGGGGCCTGGGGCTCCTTGCAGAGATGGGGCCTGGGGCTTCTTGCAGAGCTGGGGCCTGGGGCTCCTTGCAGAGCTGGGGCCTGGGGCTCCTTGCAGAGCTGGGGCCTGGGGCTCCTTGCAGAGCTGGGGCCTGGGGCTCCTTGCAGAGATGGGGCCTGGGGCTCCTTGCAGAGATGGGGCCTGGGGCTCCTTGCAGAGCTGGGGCCTGGGGCTTCTTGCAGAGCTGGCCCCTCCTGTTTGTTCTTGATCTGGGATGATCCTGGCACTTGTGTTGGTCGCTTGGGGGCTTCAGCCTTGGTCTCTGTGGTCAGTGCCACCCTGGCTGCCTCTCTCAGCCCTGGACATTCCCAGGTCATATCCATGTCTGCCTAGTCTGTCACTCATGGTTTCAGCAGCACCTGAAGTCAGGGAGGTTACACATGCAACTTCAAGCTGGGTTGTTTCTCCTCCATTTTTTCTTCCTCTGCCCTAATTGGTAATTGGGTAACTGTTGGTTTTTTGGTCTGAATACAAAGAAGTCATGTCTGGTTTATCCCAATTCTTCAGATGAGTAGGGAGACTTCTTGGAAACAGAAGCAAGGAATTGTACTCCTTTTCCTTTCTTGGTGGAAGAGCAAGGAATTCCTTGCATTTCTGATCAGACTTCCCTTTAGTTTTTGTGGCAGAGCCTTCTGCTGTGCTTCTGTGGCTTCCACCAAGGTGCTTGTTACAGTGCGGGTCACTACCCTCCCGGTACTGTGAATACTGGAAGAGGGGCTGAAGCGTGTTCCCTGGTGGATGCAGAGCCACAGAACTGCCTCATCAAGCAGTGCTACACTTTCTTGCCCCACCCACAGTCCATGGGGTGATAAACCATGAAGCCACACAGGCCAGTCGCCTTGTTCCTTTTGCCTCTCCCAGGGCTGTGTATAACATCAACCCACCAGCACTGGCAGTTCTCTGATTTCTCTGTTGATGCCCCTGACTGCTCAAGTGCACCTCTGGACTGTTCCTGCTGCTGGCAGGCACCCTGCCTCCAGCAGGAACTCCTTGTCTTTGCCATGTAGCCTTCACTCCCTCTTCTACCTTGCTCCTTCTCTGGGTGTTGGAATCCATGTCGCAGGGTCCTAATGCCCACTGAGGCAAACACACTGGGCTTCCACTGTGGCTTACTCACCAGGATTGCTTTTTGCCACTTGCTGCTTCTTTGGGAGGCTCCCACAGGAATCTGCCTGCTCCAGTTCCCTTTGTGCTGGCTCTAAATCCACTTTGCTTTTGTCTGCAGGTTGGGTGTCTTCCTGTAGTGCTCGCCTTCCCCTTGGGCTACCGGCTGCAATCATGACGCTTTCAGCCCTGCTCATGTAGGATCGGCAGGTCACTCTTCCCAGCTGCAAGGAATGATATCTTGATACACACACACACACACACACACACACACACACACACACACACACACACACACACACACACACACACACACACATCACCACCACAGCACTCACGTTTTCCCCGTTGTGCCACAAATTCCTAGTTTTAATGGGGAAAACTCTCCAAGTGCTTAGGAAAACAGTCAAGGATGGCCCAAAGCCTTGGGAACCTGCACCTGCGTGGGAGACCTGGAAGAAGTTCCTGGCTCCTGGCTTTGGCTCAGCGCAGCACTGGCCATTGCAGTCACTTGGGGAGTGAATCATTGGAAAGAAGATCTTCCTCTCTGTCTCTCCTCTCTATATATCCACCATTCCAATACAAAAATAAAATAAATCTTTAAAACAAAGGCAACGGAAGGGGCCGGCGACGTGGCCTAGCGGCTAAAGTCCTCACCTTGAACACGCCCTGGGATCCCATATGGGCGCCGGTTCTAATCCCGGCAGCTGCACTTCCCATCCAGCTCCCTGCTTGTGGCCCGGGAAAGCAGTTGAGGATGGCCCAAAGCTTTGGGACCCTGCACCCACGTGGGAGACCTAGAAGAGGTTCCTGGTTCCTGGCTTCGGATCGGCACAGCACTGGCCATTGCACTCACTTGAGGAGTGACTCATCGGACAGAAGATCTTCCTCCCTGTCTCTCCTCCTCTCTGTATATCCACCTTGCCAATAAAAATAAATAAATCTTTTTTTTAAAAAAAAGCAATGGAATCTCACAAAAATGTCTCTGCGGAGCTGCCTGGGTGGGGTGCGTCAATATCCTCCCTCCAGTGGGAAAGTTCCATGCCTACGCGAGTGACACTTTCTTACATAGGCCAATTAGGGGAGGGATGGAGGAAGTGGTGTTTCAAACTCTCTCTCTAGTTTTATGGTACGATTCCATAGGATGTGAGATTTATTCCATAGGATCTGAGATTTCCCCACCCCTGTAACTTCCTTCTATTCTAGCACTGCTGGTATCTACACTGAAAGAAGATCTCTAGGCGGATTTTTGAAAGACGAGGCTCCACAGTCACTAGGACATCATCAGTGTTTCACCCAGTTCCAAGAACCCCGTCCCCGTAAAGTTCAAAACATTTCCATCACCTCACACCCCTCTTACCAACGGTCATTATGATTTCCAAAGGTACACTGGACGTCTTCCCAGGATACCTAAAGTGTGTAAATAAACAGATTTGAGTCAAGCATCCCCCTGAATATGTGGCACTGTAATTTGCCCACAACAACTCACAAACTTAGAGCATCTAGGTCACATATACAAAAGCACTTTAATATCTCCATTGCTTTGTGGAAACTTGGTTATGTTTGGGACAGATGTTCAGCCTATGTTGCTTTAAATGCCTGTGTCCCGTGTGGCAGTGCCTGGGTTTGAGTCCCAATTCCAGCTCCTAACTCCAGCTTCTTGCTAATAAACACACTGATGATGGCTCCAGGGACTGGGTCCCTAACACCAACATAAGGGCATTTTTTTTTTAAATTCTAAGTCAGAGTGACATGGAGAGACACAGACACTCCATCCACTACTTCAGCCTCCAAATGCCCATGACACCTGGGGCTGGACCACACCAAAGCCAGGAACCCAGCACTCTATCAAGTTCTCCCACAATGGTGGCAGGAACCCAAGCACTTGTGCCATCATACATTGGATCCCAGGATGCTGGGTCAGAAGCAGAGTTGCCAAGGTTTAAACCAGCACTCTACCATGGGGATGTGTGTATCAGTCTAAGAGGTGACTTAATCCAGTACGTCAAAATGCGAGCCCAAAGACATGGACTGAATTCCCAGCTCCCAGCATTGACTTGGAAACAGCCATGGCGGGCAGTCAAGATGTAAACAAGCAATTTGGAGCTCTCTCAATCTGACCCTCTCTTTCAAATAAGCAAAACACAGAAATACACTTGGTTATCCCTTTCCAAGAGTTCTTTTTAAAAAGATTTCATTTCTGTATTCAAAAGGAAAGATGGAGAGGAAGGAAAAGGAGTGGGAAAGAGAGAATGGGAGAGAGAGAGAGAAAGGAGAGAGAAACTTCATCTTCCATCTGCTGGCTTGTTCTCCAAGTGTTTACAGTAGCTGGGACTGGGTGAGGCTGGAGCCTGGAACTACAGGCTGCTCTTCCATGTAGATGGCAGGACTCAGGCCCATGAGCTGTGATCCACTCCTTTCTCAGAAGCATCAGCATAGAGCTGGACCAGAAGTGGGTAATCCAGGACTCTAACATGGGTTGGTGTGTCACAAGCCGTGGCTTGACCTGCTGTGCTTTGCCAGCCCTATTCCATGGTTCTGATGTACATATTTTTAACTATTCTTGCTTTACAGAGGTTTCAAGCATGAAGCCTCGGGACACTAAGCCTGTAGCACCATAAAATGTAGAAAACAAAGTAAGTGGACCATGCACAGAGCTGCCAAATAGGGCTTTCATGAGGAAAAGGTGCCAGAGAGCACAGCTAGTCTTGATCTGCAGGATTCTTGCCGTCCTGGGCTCAGAATTGGTTCCATAAGGCTAATCCAAGTAAAGAAGCAATTTAGACGATGTTTCTCACCCTGCAAACATTGGAGTCATTGAAGCAGAACCATTCTCCATCCACAGAGTTCTGAATATAGGCACAGTAATGACCAAAGTTTGCCATTCCCATGTGTGTGATCACGGCAAAGAGTTCATACTGTCCTCCAACCCGGAAGGGCAGAAGGCATGGGATGGTTAACCTGTCATCTTCCTTGTCATCACACATGTATTCACAGCCTGCTCTCTGCCAGGCATTGCTACTGCAGAGGCAATAAAGCACAGTCCTTGGCCTCAGGAATCTTCCTAGCTAACCGAGAAACAATGGCTAAACCAAAATTATAATGGTGTGTTTTGTACCAGATTCTGTAGAGGTTATCTGAGAAGTGTACATTTTTGCCCACAATAGGAAAAGAACAAGAAGGCAAGGAAGGGCTGAGGGGCTGGAGGGATCTCTCCAGAGAAGCAAAAGTTGGGCTGATCTGAAAAGACAGGTTATAGGAAGGGATATCATTTTTAATGTAGACTCAGAAACTGAAAGACTCAGTGGTGGAAAAGAACACAGCATACTGCAGACACAGAAGGCTGTGAGGGTGCTCAGAAGTCACAAGAAAGCAAAATACAAAGGCCAAGTTAAAAATTCAAACTTTATTCCTTGAGTAATGCAGGTGGGGGGACAGAGTGTTTAAAGAAGAGGAGTTAACATCATCATGATGTCTGTGTAAGAGAAACAAAGAACGCAGCTTGGAAACTGGGTGCTGGGAATGGTGTCAGCATTCCACATGGGTGCTGATTTGAGTACCTGCTGCTCTGTTTCTGATCCAGCCCCCTACTCATGCACTTGGGGGGAAAAGCACATGAGACCTTCCATCCATTGCAGCCATTTGGGGATCTGCGATTGGAAGATTTCTCTCTCTCATTCTCTCTCTCTCATTCTCTCTCTCTGTATAACTCTTTCAAATAAATAAATACCTCTCGGCTTTCTGCTTGTGGACACTACCAAAGGAAGCATCGCCCTCTCTTCTCTTCACACTGCTGTTAGGTCAGAGCTTCCCGAAGAGCCCAAACAGCCGCAGAATCTCTCCAGCAGAGGGCTGAGCTGTCAAATGAGCCACGAGAGTCCGTGGAGCCATTTTAAGCAGTGGGGAATGCTCACAGACTGCGTGGGATGAGCTCTGAACACCAAGCACTCCAGTGGCTGAAGGGGTGTCACCTACGCTATCGTGGAGGTGTGGACACAGACATGAATGCAAGGCCATGCTAGTGGATGGAAGAGTGCTGGAACCAAAGAGGGCTGTCTCAAGAGAAAACTCTCCAAGACCCAGTGCCAATCTACCTGTGAAAAAGACCTTTATTGAGGGCATTTCTTTAATTTTCCTAGACACTGAAGAGCATTACCTCCCATGTTATTTTAAGCAATATGGGAAAATCAAAATGCTCGACATCATGACTGATGAAGGCAGTGGCAAGAAGAGGGGCTTTGTGGTACTTTTGATGACCATGATTCCGTGGATAAGACTACCATTCAGAAATACCACGCTGTGAATGGTCACAATTGTGAAATAAGAAAGGCCCTGTTCAAGCAAGGAGATGGCTTGTTTCATCAACCCCAAGAGGTCAAAGTGGTTCTAGAAACATTGGTGGTGGGCGTGGTGGTAGATTTGGTGGCAATGATCATTTTGGTCCAGGAGGAAATTTGAGTGGTTGTGGTGGCTTTGATGGCAGCCAAGGTGGTGGTGGTTATGGTGGTAGTGGGGACAGTTGTGATGGATTGGTAATCCTGGTGGTTGTGGAGGAGGCAGCCCTGCTTGCTCTGGAGGGAGCAGACCGTGAAAGTGGTGGAGAGGGTTATGGAAAGCAGGGCAATAGCTATAGAGAGAATGGCAGCTGTAACGACAGCCAAGGTGGCTTGGGCGGTGACAGTGGGAGCAATTTCAGAGACCATGGAAGCAACAATGATTTTGGCAATGACAACAATCAATCTTCACAATTTAGATCCACGAAGGGAGTGAAACTTTGGAGGCAGAGGCTCCGCCCCTATGGTGGTGGCAGTCAATATTTTGCCTAACCATAAAAGTCAATGCGGCTGTCGCTTGCAAGCAGCAGTAGCTGTGGCAAGGAGAACAAGGTTTGAATGAGTGCCAGGAAACAAAGCTTAGCAGGAGAGGAGAGCCAGAGAAGTGACAGGGAAGCTCCAGGTTACAGCATACCTGTGAACCCAGCCAAGCACGGTGGAGGCGAGACCCAGCTGCTACAAGGGAGGCATTTTAGTCAACACTCATGAGTATGGGGGGAAAAAAAGCATCAAAGACCTTATTTGTGATTAATTGCATAAAAGGTTACTCTAATTTCTGCTCTGTGGAAAGTGTAAGGCATTCCAAGAAGGGGTTTTGGTGTAGTTTTGATGTAGTTTTTCTTTCTTTCCTTTTTTCATATCCATGCTATTGATTGCTAATCTGATCATGACCCTGAATAAATGTGTCTTTCTAAAAATGTGCTGTGTAAAGTTAGCCTACTCCAAGGCCATCTTGGTAACCTTTCCCAAAAGTGTAAAGGCAGAATTCATCAGGGTGATGCCAGGTCCCATTTGGAATTTCCTCACAAATGACTTGGATGGAGAAGCCACTGTCATCATCCTGACAATTTCTGTTGTGACCCGACACTCACCATTAAGAGCCACCCAAGGACAGTCCCAGGATTCTTTGGATATAAAAGTGACTGCTGATACATCCTTTGCAATGTATCAAAATTAAATAATGGTACCAGATAAATTATAGATTGGATGAAAGTGAGTATCATGCACTATCATGTGTAATCAATACATGATTTAATTATCCTGAAAGATAAGCTTACAGCACATCTTGTTTAAGAATCAAAAACAAAACTTATAAAGAGGCAAGATTTCAATCATGTCTAATTCTAAATTCATACTGAGGAGCAACTTCCGGCCCAGCAGTTACATAGTCCCATCCACATCCGAGCAGCTTGGTCCTCACTGTCACTTCCTGCTAGTGTAGATGCTGAGAACTGAGCTACAACTTGTGAGGACTGGGTTGTGTTCACAAAGCAAATCAGCAGATGAGAGTTCTCTAAATACTTCTCTCACATAATATTATCTAGGAAAATTTTTTAATCCCAAACAGAGGAAAGCGAGAGTAAAAGTTCATGGCAAATAAATAAATATTTTAAAAAATGAAATGAGGGGAAAGATTTGTATAAATTTTGGTTTAAAAATAACTAACTGAAAACTGATTTGAAAACTAGGAGGATGTTGACTGCTTAAACACAGGGCATGGCTCAGTAGCCTAGTGGCTGAGGCCTTGCATGTGCCAGGATCCCATATGGGCGCTGATTCATGTCTCAGCTGCTCCACTTCCCATCCAGCTCCCTGCCTGTGGTCTGGGAAAGCAGTCGAGGACGGCCCAAAGCCTTGGGACTCTGCACCTGCGTGGGAGACCCAGAAGAAGCTCCTGGCTCCAGATCGGCTCAGCTGTGGCCATTAGAGCCACTTGGGGAGTGAACCAGGAGATGGAAGATCTTTCTGTCTGTCCCTCTCTGTAAATCTGCCTTTCCCATAAAAGTAAATATTTAAAAAAAAATGCAAATACACAGGGTAGGAGTTGTGGCATAGGCACCTGTGATGCTAGCCTTCCCCACATGGGCACTGGTTCATGTCCTGATTGCTCTACTGCAAATCCAGGTTCTGCTTATGGTCTAAATGCATCAGATGTGTTGAGGCCCCTGCCACCCACACAGGACTCCTGATGAGTCTCCTGGCTCCTGGCTTCAGCATGATCCAGCCCCGGCAGATTGAGTCATCTAGGGAGTGAAGCAAAGCACAGAAGATCTCTCCTTCACTCTCTGTAACTCTGACTTTCAAATAAATAACTCCTTTTTAAAAAGCAAATATAAAATGGTGCCATGGGGAGGTAAAGATGATGAGTTTAAGACTTATGCTATTCACAAGAACATTCCGTTACGAGGTGCAAATACATGCGGGGAACGCAAGGACAAAAGGAACAGAAGGTGGAGACAGAAATCGTGAGCTTCCGATGATCCCTGAGAGCGTGAGAGTCACGGAGATGACATCCAACACTGAGAAGGAACATAATTTAAACTAAACACTAAGGAAACACTGGACAGAAGAAACGCTATTCGCAGATTTTTATAAAAGCACAAGGACAGAAACCCTGAGTAGACAGAATTTTAAGGAGAGTAATCATTAACATAGAAATCAGATCAAGGAGACAAACCATATATATTCCTTTGATTTAACAATCAGGCGTTACACTGCCTCAAAATCTTAGACAATGCAGATAAAAGATAATGCTTTGCTTAAAAGAACATAAGGACAGAAAAAAATGACAGTAAGTAGGATCGCAGATGAACCAAGAACTCTCCCCTCTCATTTAAAAAAAAAAAAAACAGTTGAGCTGAAAGAAGCCAACGGTGGCTGCCAGGGGCAGGGGTTGGGCAGGGGTGGGATGGGAAGATGTTGGTCGAAGAACAAAGAAACAAAGCTTTGGAGTAAGTTTTCAGAGATCTACTCCATGACACTGTAACTTTGTTAATGCCAATGAATTGCATACCTGAAAATTGTTTAAAAAAATAAGTATTTTACATCTTCTCACCGCAAAAGATATACGTGTTGTTACTCTGTACGCCATAAATATGTATAAGGATTGCATGCTAATTTTTAAATCATTTTTGAAAAGAATTAGTGTGTGAGGTGACAGATCACGTTGATTAACTTAAACTAGTCACCCCACAATATACACACACATTAAAATAGCACATCACACATGATAAATATATGCAAATTTGTGCATTACATTTTAGTTGGGAGGAATAACAAAGATAAAAAGAATATGAGTAAAAGAAAAATCAAGGAAGCTAGGTTTGGCTCATTGTTGCAGGAATCCCACCAGGCTGTGGTTGTTCTCCTGCCAGTGGCCAGCAGGGGACAGGATTTCCTAGCGGACAGGGTGGCAGAAACACACAGAACTGGGTAACTGAGCTGGTATTTTCAACTAGTGTTCACCCACTCATAGCTTAGTCTGGGATCCTGTGGCCTGGGGAAGACCTTCCAAGCTGAGCACTGACGCATCGAGGGATGCTTGGGGAAACAGGAAGTATGGCGTCTAATGAGACACAAGGCCAGAGCGGGGCCAGCTTCTCACCTGGTCCTTGACATCATCGCTGAGGTCTTGTTCACTCAGAAGCACCTGAGTGAAATCCAAGCTCTCTCGGGGAAAGAGACGGAGTGGCAGACCTTCTGTGTCTGTGAATTCCTGGCGGAGAAGCGCATGAGGTGGATGGTCAAAGCTGAGGGCAGATGGGTCAGCTTCAAGGCCTGGGAAGAACAAAGTTAAGCAGCAATGAAGCTCTCTGACATGACTCGGGGTCACTGACTCATGGACTCCTCCATGAGACGCACAACACGTGGCTTCCACTATCCATCTCCCACGGGCACCTGAACCCAGCAGAACTTTGATGTCTTCCCCAGGGAACTGGTCCAACCCTGACGGAGCTGCTCTTTCTCCTTAAACGGCTCAGTCCCTGTCAGGGGTGTGATCTGAGTAGCCCTATCTACAGCTCTGGAAATCAGAAGCCACAGGACCCATGGTGCTCGCCTGACCCTACTCTCTGTCATGCATCATAAGGTGCCCTCTGCTGGTGCAGCGTGCCCGGGAGCCCCCTGAGACCAGGGAGGCACTGTATTTTAGGGAAAGGAATACCTGTTTCCCATAGGTGTTCTTCCCACAGTTCTGAAGCCGGGAGCCTCTTCCAGGTCTCCCACGCGGGTGCAGGGTCCCAAAGCTTTGGGCCGCCCTCCACTGCCTTCCCGGGCCACAGGCTGGAATGGAAGCAGGGCCGCCAGGATTAGAACCGGTGCCCATATGGGATCCCGGGCGTGCAAGGCGAGGACCTTAACCACTGCATCATCACGCTGGACCCTTCCCACAGTTCTGACAGAAGCACTTGCTTTTGCTTGATAGCTCCTTGGGTTGCAAAAAGTACTGCAGGGCGTCTTCCTGTGACATGCAGGAAAGCACAGACAAAGCAGGTTGCTATTTCCTGTTCAGAGTCCAGCCTGCCACCCAGCTGGGGGAGGCACAAGCAAGTTCTCCCAATGCCCCCTGAGCCCGACAGCACCTTTTTTTTTCAATTAGTGTTATTTTATTTTTATAACCTTTACATAGTTGATTAGGGCACAAAGGGACAACAGTTATAGGAAAGTGGGTAAGACCAGCGTTCCCACATTCTTTTTTTTTTTTTTTCTGTATCTGGTCTAAGAGGGGAGGATAAAGGGAGAAGCACCACCCAGCCTCCCACCCATCCCAGGGTCCCCAACAACATGGGGGGCATGCTCCAAGGGCACTGCTCAAGTGCTTTGGTAGTTCAACAGTTCTGAATTGCTCATGCAGCGCCTTTAATGTCTGACCCACTGCGGGACACCTGGCAGGTCGCAGAAAGTGCTCCCTGCTTGGGGGAACTAAACAGGAGTGGCATCTATTAAGGAAGCAGCAAAGGAAAGTAGAAGTAAGGGTTAAAAATACTTTTTGCCAAATCCAGGTAGCCCTTGGCCACATCCTGGCAAATGAAATAGAAAGTGACACTGAACAGCCCAGGGCAGGTGAAAGAAGCAAGGGGACCAGAACACTGAGTCCTGTGGGAACAGTGATCCACCATGACAAATCTCTCACCAGTGTTCCCAGCGGCTTTAAGTTCAGGTCGAAAAGGCTGAGAGGGAGCGTCAGCGAGCTACTGTCTCTGCTACTCTCCGTGGTGCAGTCGAGGCAGACCAAGCACTCCTTTATCCGGATCTTATACAAGTCCTGGAGCCGCTGCACCTGCGTGAGAGACGAGGCGAGACATGAAAAGGCAAGAAGCAGGTGCCAGCCTGGGCCAACTCACAGAAACGGGAGCCACCAGCTAGGGGCTGCACAGTGACAGCCATTCAGAGGGCCTATTCACAAAAGCGACAATGAGTCACAGTGACTATGTGAGGGAATGGCAACAGGCATTTTCTGTGGATTAACTTTCGTTCCTCTCTGTGCAACATACAAACCACAGTTGATGAGTTCAGTCAGTAACCCTGGTGTGCCCCAATTCCAGGGCCTTACCAAGTCCACATCGGTGATCTGAGCCTTAATGAAGTTCCAAATCGTGAGGTAGAGCTGAGCAGCATCATGCTGAACAAACACTGACCAGAGAGAAAAACAATCGCCCGGTTAGTAAGGTCCTTGGAGAGCTTCTCATGCCATTGGGCCCTGGCACCTAGATGCCCATGGGTCCCTTGTCCTTTGGTGGCCCTCCTCTCTCCCAAAAAGCCCAAGTTGGCACTACCTACGGGATGTTCAATGAATGAAAACTCAGCACTATTTATATTTTTGAGAGCTCATCTTGAACTGAAGAGCCAGGAGCCAGCACTGGGAAGCAGAAGGTAGATCAGCTCAGACTATATGAGCACCAGTTCCAGTCGGGGATGCTCTGCTTCTGAGCCTGCTCCCTGCTAGCGTGCTTGGGCACCAGTTCCAGTCAGGGATGCTCTGCTTCTGAGCCTGCTCCCTGCTAGCGTGCTTGGGCACCAGTTCCAGTCGGGGATGCTCTGCTTCTGAGCCTGCTCCCTGCTAGCGTGCTTGGGCACCAGTTCCAGTCGGGGATGCTCTGCTTCTGAGCCTGCTCCCTGCTAGCGTGCTTGGGCACCAGTTCCAGTCAGGGATGCTCTGCTTCTGAGCCTGCTCCCTGCTACTGTGCTTGGGGAAGCGGCAGAAAATGGCCCAAATGATTAGAATCAGGCACCCATGTGGAAGACCTGGAAGGAGCTCCTGGCTGCTGGCTCCTGGCTTCCAAGCAGCCCAGGTACCAGTACTGTGGTCATTTTGGGTGTAAACCATAAGATTGAATACCTCTCTCTCTCTCTCTCTTTCTCTATCTCTCCCCTCTCACCCACCGTATAGCTTTGCCTTTCAAATAAATAAATAATCTTTTTTGAAAAGAGAAACAAGTGAGCCCGGCACTGTAGCCTAGCAGCTAAAGTCTTCGCCTTGCACACACCAGGATCCCATATGGGTGCTGGTTCTAATCCCACCAGCCTCGCTTCCCATCCAGCTCCCTGCTTGTGAAAGCCGTGGAGGACGGCCCAAAGCCTTGGGACCCTACACCTGCATGGGAGATCCAGAAGAGATTCAGATCACCTCAGCTCCGGCCGTTGAGGCCGCTCGGGGAGTGAATCAACAGACGGAAGATGTTCCTCTCTATTTCTCCTCCTCTTTGTATATCCACCTTTCCAATAATAAACAGATACATTAAATAAATAAATAAATAGAAGCAAGTACCACTTGGGACACGAGCATCACATGACAGGGTGATGGCTCAGGGAACTGAGTCCCGGCCATCCACATGACAGGTTATATTCCAAACTCCAGACTGCAGCCTTGCCCATCGACAGCGGATGTTCTCATCTGGGCAGTGATGCCTATTTCTCTATCTAGACAGATCTTCCCAACTGTTAAGGAGGGCTAAAGGAAAGTGGAAATACAACTGGAATGGGGCCTCCATAATGCCCAAGAGCAGTGTGAACACTGGCAAAACACAGAAAAGGTCACATATGACAAGCCGAGAGCTAACATCATATACGGCATGTGGAAAGTTGAACTCTTGGGCCCGGTGCAACAGTGTTATGGTTAAGGTCCTCACCTTGAATGCGCCGGGATTCCCATGGACACTGGTTCTAATTCCAGCTGCTCCATTTCCCATCCAGCTCCCTGCTTGTAATCTGGGAAAGCAGTCAAGGATGGCCCAAAGCCTTGGGACCCTGCACCGGCATGGAGGCCTGGAAATTCCTGGCTCCTAGCTTCAGATCAGCTCAGCTCCAACAATTGCAGCTACTTGGCAAGCAAACTAGCACATGGATAATCTTTCTGTCTTTCCTTCTCTCTGTATGTCTGCCTTTCCAATAAAAAATAAATAAATCTTAAAAAGAAAAAGGAAAATATAAGTGAAAATCACAATCAGTGATTGGTTTCAATTTTTCAATTCAGAGTGTCATCATCGAAAGACACAAAAAAAATACTAAATGCTGGAAAGGACATAAAGAAAGACAGGGAGACCTCACACACACTGTTAGTAAAGATGTAAAATAGTACAGATCGCCTCAGGAAACCTAGACACAGAATGACTATAGGATCTGCAGGTTCCTCTACTGGGTATAGAGTCAAAGGAAAAGGAAGAAGCACATCTAAGGGGTGCCCCACCATGCTTGTGGCAGTGCTATTCATACCAGCTAAGACACAGATGCACTCTATGTGTCCAGTAGTGGACAAATCAATAAAACAATGAGTTATGGGGGGCCAGGGGGAGGCCTGATGGTGTGGCACAGCGAGTATGCCCACTGCCTGTGACACCAGAATCCCATTGTGGATACCAGTTCACATTCCGGCAGCTCTACTTCAATCCTGCTCTCTGCTAATGACATGGGAAAACAAGCGGTAAAAGATCTAAGTACCTCAGTGTTTAGCCCCACCAGCCCCATGGGAGACCTAGAAGAAGCGCTTGGCTCAGCTCAGCCCAGCCCTGACAACTGTGGAAGAGCGCTCTCTCTCTACCTCTGCCTCTCTCTCCCCACCCTTTCCTCTCTCTGTCCCTCCTCCCCACCCATCTCAAGCTTCTGTCCCCTTCAGATCAGTAGCCAGGTGCCAGGAAGGAATGCCTTACTTGGTACATTGTACTTCTGGAGGCAGGAGACGAACTCCACGGGTCTCGCTGCCTTCTGCCGGCTGTCCTGCATCTTCTCTAGCAATAAAAGTAATTGAAAAGGGACATTTCTCTTCTGTTCTTCCACTTCTCTTGGAACTTTTATCCTGCCTAATAAAAGCAGCCAGGAACCTTCTTACCCACACAGTTCTCAATGGGGGTGTACATTGGAATCACTTGGGAAACATTTTTTTTTAATATCCAGATCACTACCACAGGAACTAAACACTTGCAGTGGGACTCATTTAACAAAAATTTTTAAGTTTCCCAGAAACTTTGCATGGGAAACCAATATTGAGAATCACCATGTCACTGAACTTGGTCGTACAGAGTCCCTCTCCAAAGAGGCATCAACAGCACAATGGCTCAGTGGCTAAATCCTCGCCCTGCATGTGCCAGCATCCCATATGGGCACCAGTTTGCATCCTGGCTGCTCCATTTCCCATCCAGCTCCCTGCTTGTGGCCTGGGAAAGCAATGGAGGATCGCCCAAAGCCTTGGGATCTTGCATTCAATTGGGAGACCCGAAAAAAACTCCTGGCTCCTGGCTTCACATTGGCTCAACTCTGACTGTTGCAGCCACTTGGGGAGTGAACCAGCAGACAGATGATCTTCCTCTCTCTCTGTAGACCTGCCTTTCCAATACAAATATATAGATATAGATATAGATATAGATACACACACACATATGTATGTATTTTAAAGAAGAGAGAGAGAGCAGCATCAACATGTCTGATGACTCAGCTCAAAAGCACAATAGAGAGAAGGACAGATACACTGAGTTCTAAGTCCATATCCAAGGCAGGCAGTGACAGGTCCAACCTGATACACTCCAAATAAAAACCAAACACTGGGCCTGGCGCGGTGGCGCAGTGGTTAAGGTCCTTGCCTTGCACGCCCGGGATTCCATATGGGCGCCGTTTCTATCCCAGCAGCCCCGCTTCCCTTCCAGCTCCCTGCATGTGGCCCGGGAAAGCAGTCGAGGACGGCCCAAAGCTTTGGGACCCTGCACCCGCGTGGGAGACCTGGAAGAGGCTCCTGGCTTTGGATCGGCATAGTGTCGGCCATTGCACTCACTTGGGGAGTGAATCATCGGATGGAAGATCTTCCTCTCTGTCTCTCCTCTCTGTATATCCGCCTTTCCAATAAAAAAATAAAATAAATCTTAAAAAAAAAACAAAACCCAAACACTGAGTCATGCCCAGTGCGGGCAACACGACAGCTGTCAGTGTCCTTCAGCACAGACTCAGTGGACTATAGACGTCTCTCAAAGGCCTGTGTCAATGGTGAGAAAAAGAAGAAAACTCAGGGCAAGAGAGAGTGTTTATGTGTGAGGATGCCCACTGACATTTTCTCTAAGACTGACCTAGTTCCCTTTTAACCAAATCAGTAACTGTCAATTCTGGATACGTTGCTAAAATCACCAAAAGAGCCTTTTTAGAAGTATCATAGCTGTGGGCCTTTAACCTGGGAACTGCAGTGCTTACATCTCATAACACAATGCCTGGCAACGAAATTCTCAGCTCCAGCTCCGGACTCTTGTTTCCTGTTAATGCAGACCCTGAAGGAATGTGATGATGACCCAAGTGATTAGGGTTCCTGTCACCCACAGGAGAGACCTGAATTAGGTTTCTGGCTCCTGGTTATGGCCCAAACTGTGGGACTGGAGCATGTAGGGAGTGAACCAGTGGATGGGAGCTCATTCTCTCTCTCTCTCTCTCTCTCTCTCTCTCTTTCTCTCTCTCTTGCTGCTCTCTGATTCCTTCCCCTTCCTTCTTGTCCCCTCCCCTTACCTCTTTCACAAATAAATTTAAGAAATATAAAAGTTCAAATACCTGGGCCCCACCCCAGGTCAACTGAAACCATAGATCTGAGGTTAGGACTAGGCACTTACATATTTTTAGACTTTCTTATGTGATTCTATAGGCAGAAAAGGATCTTTTTGCTAGTATCTTTTAAAGAAGACTTCTAAAAGTCCAATGCATTGTGAATAAGCGAATGCTCCATAATTAAAATACTATACATGTTTATCAGACTGAATAACAGACTTACCTCTTCATTATCTTGGTGAATTCCACATTCATTATGAATACCTGAATCAGGGAGTTAAGGCAGCAGGTCTGTCCAATGTTGTGTAAGCCAACTAGGCCTTTAAAGGGATGAGAAAAAAAAATACTGAAGGCAGGGTACAGCTTAAGAATTTTTTTTTTTTTTTTTTTTATTGTTGCTTACATTGTATTATGTAGTACAGTTTTATAGGCGCTGGGGATTCCCCCCACCCCTCCCATAACCCTCCCCCCATGGTGGATTCCTCCACCTTGTTGCATAACCATAGTTCAAGTTCAGTTGAGATTCATTGCTTGCAAACACATGCCTAGCATAAAGTTCAGCGTCTTATTGTCCAGATAAGTTCAGTGGCCTCTTGGGGAGACCTTCTATGGTCTGAAGATAGGTCTAACAGAGTAGAGATCCGGTCAGTTAAAAGCCCCAACAAGGCCTCAGTATCAATATACAACATTATGGAATTAATTGACATAGTAATGGGTAGACAATATGTTAAAAATAATGCAAGTTCCATTCTTCGAAACATCTGGGTTGAGACAGTATCAATGACAGGTTCAAAAAATAACCAACAACCAAACAAAAAATTACAGGTTAAATCAAGGCAAACATGTGGTATCTAATCTTTTGGGATTCACTCATTTCCCTTAGCATTATAGTTTCCAGTTGTGCCCATTTAGCCACAAAGAACTGCATTTTGTTTTTTTTAATAGCTGAGTAGTATTCCATGGAGTAGATGAACCAAAGCTTTCTTATCCAATCTTCTGCTGATGGGCATTTCGGTTGCTTCCATGTTTTTGCAATTACTGATTGTGCTGCAATGAACATAGGGATGCATGTTGGTTTGTCGTAAAACAGGTGTTTTGGATATATTCCTAGGAGTGCTATTGCTGGGTCATATGGTATGCAGATTTTGAGTTGTTTGAGTGTTCTCCAGACTGATTTCCATAAAGGCTGTACCAATTTGCAGCTCCACCAGCAGTGGAGTAGGGTTCCCTTTTCCCCGCATCCTCGCCAGCAAGCGTCGTTGGTGTTCTTGTTTATGTGGGCCAATCTTACTGGTGTTAGGTGGTACCTCATCGATGTTTTAATTTGGATTTCCCTTATTGCTAGGGAGCTGGAACATTTTTTCATATGTTTGTTTGCCATTTGGACTTGTTCCTTTGTGAAATGTTTGCCCATTTCCCGTGCCCATTTCTTGAGTGGTTTGTTTGTTTTGGTTTTTTGGTTGTTTTGAAGTTCTTTGTATATCCTGGAAATTAGCCCCCTATCGCCTATATCGTGTGCAAAGATCTTCTCCCAATCTGTGGGTTGCTTTTTTACTTTGTTGATTGTTTCCCTTGCTGTACAGAAGCTTCTTAGTTTGATGAGGTCCCATTTGTTTATTCTGTTCTCAACTGCTATTGCTTTTGGTGTCCTTCTTAGAAAGTCGGAACCTACTCCTAGGTCTTGCAGGGTATTTCCTACATTTTCCTGCAAGAGTTTGAAGGTTTCTGGATGTAGGTTTAGGTCTTTTATCCATGTAGATTGGATCTTAGTGTATGGTGATAGATGTGGGTCTATCTTTTTGTTTCTACAGGCTATCAGCCAGTTGTCCCAACAACATTTACTAAAGAGGCCTTCCCACTTGCTTGAGTTGTCATTGGTCTTTTTGTCAAAGATTAATTGGCTGTATTTGTGTGGGTTCCCTTTTGGTGCTTCTATTCTATTCCATTGATCTTCCTTTCTGTCTTTGTGCCAGTACCAGGCTGTTTTGATAACCACTGCTCTATAGTATGTCCAGAGGTCCGGGATTGTGATTCCCCCTGCTAACTTCTTATTTTTCAGGATGGTTCTAGCTATTCGTGGTTTTTTGTGTTTCCAGATGAACTCTTGAATCATTGTATCCAGTTCCGTGAAGAATGTTTTGGGCAATTTGATTGGAATTGCGTTGAAAATGTATATTGCTTGTGGTAGTATAGACATTTTAATGATATTGATTTTGCCTATCCAGGAGCACGGGATGTTATTCCATCTTTTGAGGTTTTGTTCAATTTCCTTTTTAAATAGTTTGTAGTTTTCTTCGAATAGGTCTCCTACGCTTTTGGTTAAATTTATTCCCAAATACTTCATACTTCTCTCTGCTATTTTGAATGGTATCCTGTTGGTTAGATCTTCTTCCATCTTGGTGTTATTTGCGTACACTATGGCTGTTGATTTTCGTTCGTTAATTTTGTACCCCGCCACTCTGCCAAACTCTCGTATAAGTTCTAGCAGTTTCTGTATTGAGTCTCCTGGTTTTTCTATGTACAGGATTATGTCATCTGCATATAGTGAAAGCTTGACTTCTTCGTTTCCTATACGTATGCCTTTGATTTCTTTTTCTTGTCTTATGGCCTCTGCAAGTACCTCTAGGACTATGTTGAATAGCAGTGGTGATAGCGGGCACCCTTGTCTTGTTCCAGATCGCAGTGGGAAGGGTTCTAGCTTTTCTCCATTCAGTATGATACTGGCATTGGGTTTTTCATAAATTGCTTTGATTATGTTGTGGATTTTCCCATCTATGCCTACTTTGGCTAGAGTTTTTAGCATGAAGAGGTGTTGGATTTTGTCGAAAGCTTTTTCTGCATCTATTGAAACTATTATGTGGTTCTTGTTTTGCAGTTTTTGGATGTGGTTTATAACATTTATGGATTTCCGAATGTTGAACCATCCCTGCATTCCAGGGATGAATCCTACTTGATCCGGATGAATGATCTGTCTGATGATTTTTTGAATTCTATTGGCTAGGATTTTGTTGAGAATTTTAGCATCAATGTTCATCAGAGAAATAGGTCTGTAGTTTTCCTTCTCTGATGGTTCTCTGTCCGGTTTTGGGATTAAGGTGATGTTAGCTTCATAGAATGAGTTTGGGAGGGTTGCTTCCTCCTCTATTGTTTTGAAGAGCTTGTAGAGGATTGGGGTTAGTTCTGTTCGGAATGTTTTGTAGAATTCTGTAGTGAAGCCGTCTGGGCCTGGGCTTTTTTTCGTTGGGAGATCTTTGATGACTGTTTCAATCTCTGCCTCGGTTATGGGTTTATTTAATTCTGCAGTTGCCTCCGGACTGAGTTTTGGTAAGTGGTGGGAGTCCAAGAACTTTTCTATTTCTTGGTGGTCCTCAAATTTGTGGGAGTACAGTTCTTTGTAGTAATTTCTAATTATTTTCTTAATGATTGCAGTGTCTGTTGTTATGTTGCCTTTTTCATCTTTAATGCTATTGATTCTCACTTTCTCTTGTTTTTTTTTGGTCAATCGGGCCAGTGGAGTGTCTATTTTGTTTATTTTCTCAAAAAACCAACTTTTTGATTTGTTGATTTTATGTATAGTTTTTTTGATTTCTATTTGGTTTATCTCCTCCCTTGTTTTGATGATTTCTTGTTTCCTATTGTGTGTGGGACTCTTCTGCTGCTGTTTTTCCAGATCCTGGAGGTGTGAGGTTAGTTCCTGTATTTGGCGTCTTTCTTGGGCCTTGACATGGGCTCCGATTGCGATGAATCTACCTCGTAGCACTGCTTTGGCGGTGTCCCACAAGTTTTGGAATGTTGTATCAGAGTTTTCATTGGTTTCCATAAATTTTTTGATCTCATCTTTAATTTCTTCTCTGACCCATTGTTCGTTTAATAGCATATTGTTCAATTTCCAAGAGTGCCTATACTTCCTGGGGAGTTTTGAGTTGTTGATTTCCAGTTTCATCCCATGGTGGTCTGAGAGGGTACATGGTATGATACTAATGTTTTGGAAGTTGTTTAGATTCGCTTTATGTCCTATCATGTGGTCGATTCTGGAGAAGGTGCCATGCACCGCTGAGAAGAAGGTATAGTCTGTGGCCTTAGGATAAAAAGTTCTATATATGTCTACTAAGTCCAGTTGTTCTATTGTTTGTGTGAGCTCTGTTGTTTCTTTGTTGAGTTTTTGTTTCGTAGACCGGTCCATTGTTGTTAGAGGTGTGTTGAGATCGCCTACAAGAATTGTGCGGGTGTCTATGTCTTCCCTTAAGTCTGTAAGTAATTGCTTTACGTAAGTAGGTGCATTAAGATTCGGTGCATAAACATTAATGATGGTGATTGCTTCTTGATGGATCATTCCTTTCACCAGTATAAAATGGCCTTCCCTGTCTCTTTTGATGTTGGTTAGAATGAAATCTATCTCGTCTGAAATTAGGATAGCTACCCCAGCTTTTTTTTCTCGTCTATTGGCGTGAAATATCTTTTTCCATCCCTTCACTTTCAGTTTCTTTGCATCCTTTCTGGTTAGATGCGTTTCTTGTAGGCAACAGATGGTTGGGTCTTGTTTGATGATCCATTCTATTAATCTCTGTCTTTTGATTGGTGAATTTAGACCATTTGTGTTGAGAGTTAAAATTGAGAGGTTGCAATTTTGCCCTGCCATGTGATTGTGTTGTGTGTGTGTTGTTGCCTATGTAATTGTCTTGTTGGTGCGGCCTTTAGTTTGGAGACCTTCTTATTTGCCAACTTTGTTTGTGATTTGCCTCCTTTTTGTCCGGGACTAGCGCATTTCTAAGGAGACTTTGCAGAGCTGGTTTTGTGTAGACATATTCTTCTAGTTTTTCTTTGCTATTGAAGTATCTGATTTCGTTCTCATATACAAATGAGATCTTTGCTGGGTAGATTATTTTTGGTTGACAGTTGTTTTGTTTCAGGACTTGGAAGATCTTTGTCCATTCTCTCCTTGCTTGTAGTGTCTCTTCGGAGAAGTCAGCAGTGATTCTGATGGGTTTTCCCCTGTATGTGATCTTTTCTCTACTTCGTACTTGTCTCAGGATTCCTTCTTTGTCTTCATTGGAGTAGAACTTGAGCACCGTGTGTCTGGGTGAAGATCTCTTTGGATCATGTCTGTTGGGAGTTCTCTGTCCATCCTGTATGCGGGGTGGATTCGTGTTCCAAGTGTTTTGGAAGTTTTCCTGTATAATTTCATCGAGCACTGCTTGCATCCCAGATTCTCTTTCTACTCCCTCGGGGAGGCCGATGATCCGAATATTCAATTTTCTAAGGTAATCCTTCATCTCTTGCATCATTTTATTAGTTTTGCTGAGGTTTGTCTCCAGCTGTTTAATTCGCTGGGCACTTTCATTTTGTGTGTCTTCTGTTTCAGAGATCCTTTCCTCTGCCGCATTTATTCTGTTGATGAGGCTTTCAATCTTATTATCTTGGGCATCCAGTTTGGTTTTGATTTGTTGTATTTCGGTGATTATGCGGTTCTGGAAGTCTTCCAGCTTTGTGTCCACGTCTCTGAGAGATTTTAGCATTATTTTCATCAATTCCTTTGTTGGTAACACTTCCATGTCTTCATCTCGTATCGTCGATATTGATAATGGCTTTTGGCCCTTGTTTGGTGGGGTGCTGGCTCTTTCATCTGGAGCACAACTCTTTCTGGTGGTTTTTCCCATTGCGTTGGTGTATTCTGGTGAGGCAAATGGACCCGTGTGTTGAGGGGCTGTCAGGTGCTTTCCTGTAGAGATTGGAGCCTGTAGGCGTGGTGTTGCCGGGCGTGGTAATTTTCAAGGCACCGTTGGTGCGTTCTCAGGGCCCGGGGCTGTAGAGCACCACCTTGGGGGCCCAGTGGATTCCAGGCACACTCTGGGCACCTCTTCTACAGGTGTGACACCCCAGGGCGTGGCGGGATGGAGGCACTCTCTGGGTGTGCTCCCTTCACGGGAATCCGCAGTGCGTAGAAGGTTTTATGTGCTTTCTCCCTGCGTTCTCCGTGTCAGGGGCTGCAGGGTTTTTCAGAGCCCACCTGGTGCGTCTCCCACACACGGGACTGTGGGTGAGGCACTTTGCAGGCGTGGCTCTTGTGCAGTGAATCCACCACTCGTGGTGTGTGGGTGTTCAGAGCCCCTGCTCCCGTGTGGCTCCCCCACTCAGGCCCTTAGCGGAGGAGTGGCCCGGGCGCCCTGTTATAATGACTTCACGGCGGCAGGTTCGCACCGTGTCAGTTTGTTGTAGGAGTTCCCCTGACACCTGACACCTGCGCTACGGAGGTGCTGCTGCTGCAGGCGGGGCGCCCAGCCCGCTCGGTGCGGCGATCAGAGTCCTGGTGGTTTCAAGCACTCACCAGGCAGGATGTGGGGGACTCCAGACCCTCGCCAGCTACCTCTGCGCACCGAGCCGCACTGGTCCCCTCAGCGCAGGGACATCCGATGCGCCTTCCCGGGGCCCCCTCAGCCACCAACACAACACCACTGTGCGTAGTTCCACACAGACCCAACAGTTTCGACCGTCTGCTCCGCGTTCTGAGGCTGGAGCCTCAGGGGGGCAAGAAATGCGGAGGCTGCCACGTCAACCCCCAGCTCACCAAAAGTCCGGCCGCTGCAGTCTGCCTCCACCGCTGCCGAAGGCCTCCCGCCGGTGACGATCCCCCTGATCTCCCCGCCTCCGAGCTGGCCGCGTCTCCCGTCAGGCCGTTTTCAAAAGTGACTCAGCAGGTCTGGAGTGGGATGTCGGTTTCTCTGCCTTTGCCCTGCTCCGTTCTCGTTGTTCTTCCGAGTTGTGTGGATCTTTTTGGCTCCACACTGTCCCAGGGAGCTTCACGGACCTCTCCCTGCGGTTCCCTGCTGTTCCTCTTTGCTGCTTCTGTAGCTTTCTATCCCTTTCTCACTAGACTCTCCCTCACAGCCCTCCTCCTACGTCGGCCATCTTCGCTCCTCCCAGCTTAAGAATTTAACAAAAAATACTTTTTCTGGAATTGACATGACACTCTGTGAAGTAATCTCAGAGGTGCAAAGAACTCACTAGGCGGCTGGCCAATAAACTGGAGAGCACGTCTCAAGGATGAACCTTGGCAAAGCATCAGGAAATGTTTTCATGATCTGTTGCAAGCGACCAATGTCTCCACAAGAAAGCATATTATTCACTGGCCAAGTGAGCCATGTCAGAAGTTGTTAGGGAGGCAAAGAATCAGAAATACCAGAGCAGGCATTTGGCACAGCAGCTAAGACGCCACTAGGAACACCCATACTGGAGCTCCGCTATCAAGTCCCAATTCTACTCCCAACTGCAGCTTCCTGCGCATGCGCACCCTTGGTGGTATCACTGGTCATTCTAGTAGCTGACTCACTTCCACACACTGGCAGACCTGAATTGGATTCCTAGCTACTGGCTTAAACTGGTCCAACTGCAATCAACTGGAAAACGAACAAGAGGACAGAAAATTCTTTCTCTCCCTCTGTCTCTCTTCTCTAAAGCTTTCAAATCAATTTTTAAAATGCTTAAAGAAATAAACATTTTAAAAGGAGTTGTGAGCTTCCTCCATTCAAGCTGTCCTCTACGGAGATTAACCAAAAGGCCATGGGGGCAGAGGCAGGAGCGACTCCCCAGCGAGTTTATATTAGATTCCAGGGAAGGAAGAAGCCCCGATGAGTCCCCACCGCAGCTTTGGGGAACATCCACCCCATCTAAAGAAACACCGAAAGCAAAAGGACATAGGAAGATATTTCTCTGACACTCTAGCAATGCACTTCTGCTTTCCCAACCCAAGCTTAGGCTCAGCTGACCCCTCAGGTGATCACTTTAGAAGGAAAGGAGAATGACAAAACTCAAAATTCCTTAGGGAAGAGCTTGACCCTTCCATCACCTGATCCCTCCCCCAAAATGTGCATGGGCAGGAAGCTGAAATCCGGAGCAGAGCCAGGACTCCCACCCAGGCACTCCAGTGTGGGACATGGGCATCTCACCTACTAGACCAACCACGTGCCCCAGATTTCGTTCCCATTTAGCTTTTCTAACAACTGTGTGTGCCCAGCATTGTCACCTTCCCCATTCTACAGATGCATAAAGGGAGGCACAATCAGTAAATTCTTCAGCTGTAGAGTACCATGAGTGAACAAAGCATTTCTATAAAATCAAAATAGAAAACAAAAATGGCAAGAATGTAATCACCATGATGGTAGTCCCAGGCGCCAAGAAGTACTCTTAGCCCATCTTTCTTCCTCTTCTCCACACACTCTGTTGTCCTACTTCTCCACACACTCTGCTTGGAACTGTAGAGACTCACTCAGGACAAACTGGCAAATTGTCCTCAGGAGCACAAACACTGTGCCCATCAGGGATCACTCCAGCACTGCCGGGCTGAGGCTGTCCATCTGGTGTTCAGGGCTGATGGCTCCACACTCGGGAGCGCTCCCATGAGCTGAGCACAAGGGAATCTGTGGGAACACACAGCAGGTGAGCAAAGATGAGAGGAGAGAGAAAAAATGAGAGCTACATCTTAAAGCAGACAGCGTAAACGAGGCACTGACCTGGCAAGAGATTCGGAAAGAGTTGAATCACCAGGGAATGGTCCAGGAAAGCTTATTGCAGCCCTGTACTCACAAAAGGCCAGGACACTGGTCAACACAGGCAAAGCTCCAGAAACAAATGTGCATCTGGATTCTAAGTCAGCAGTGTAGCAAGGTACCTGCTGCTTGGGCAGTGAGGGCTCTCCTACCCCTCCCTGTAGATCCTGGATGGTCCCTGCATATCACATTCCCCCCCACTGCTCCTGTTCTGCCCCTAAGTCCTGGATGACCCCAAGCCTTGCCCTGACAAACTGCTTCTTAGGGAGTCAGATTCTCTGGGGACCACATTTCTCTCTACCTCTGTTTTTGTCATGAGTAAATGAGGCCTTCTTTAGAGAAACTCCTTCTTGAAGCTGATTATTCTGCATTGGCAGATACTTGGGGCCGCCAATGACATCCAGATGGGGAAATGCATTCTAAAGCTCGAGGACCTGGTGACAACAGCACGCCCAGACATCACCTACTCTTGGCTGCGCACATTTCACTGTTCCTCAGAGACAACTGCCTGCTCATAAATTCTCTTTCTTCCAAGAGTGTCTACACCGATAGGAGGCATAGCATTCACCAAGGAACCCGGCCTGAAAGCTGAGTGTTTCCTGGCTCCCTTCTCTCATCCCAGGGCAGTTGCCTCTGGCCACCAATTCCACCGTTGAATGGCAGCTCAAACGCAAACTCCCTGATGCCCACACCTTTGAAGTCCCTTGACACTCCTAACAGACATTCAAGTCCCAATAAGAAGTCTCCTCATTTGGAAAATATTCCCCTGAGTCCTCAGGAAAGCCTGTACATACTGTAGAACACTGCTCACATCACTGACTCACTCTGATCCAAGCAGTTGTTTCTCCATTTGCAGGTGTGTGGTTTGCATGCAGCTGCCCCTCTCTGCACAGAAGCCCACTCCCCAGGCTGAGAGGGGGTATTGCTGATTGACAGCACCGCAGTCTCTGTATGCAAACCAAAGAAGTATAGCCATGACAACATCGCAGCTACAAAGGAGGCCATGCTACCTGCAGCACTCAAGTTCTTCTGTTCCTTTACTTCTTCCTGACCACTCAGACCTACACATCCTGCTAATTCTCCCCCAGACATGTTGTGGAATCCCAGGAGATATCTCCTCTCTGTCTGGAACAAACGTCATGTGTTAACGCTCCCACTCACCACTCTAAAATGTCCTCTGGGTAGCTAAAGGGCGCAGTCACACACAGCACTCAGTGTGCGAAGGTGTCGCCATCTCTCTAAGTGGGAACTCAGTTTGACACTAGGAGATGCATCTGAGACAGAAATGGGATCCACAAAATCAAGTCTCTTTCAATCTGACGTGTAGCTGTCTCCAACTCCAAAGCAATCAAGAGAAAAGATCACCCAGACTAACTACAAAAGACCCCTTCTATCCCATCAGGGACTGCCCCCACCTGTAACGCATCAACCAAGATATGATATTATTTCAGAGGCAACAGCGAGCAACACAACAATGCTGAGCTTGTTATGTGCAAAAGACACACCTGAATGTACAAACAGCTCTGGGCCAGGTGCAAACTCAAGTACTGAGGAGAAAGCACAGAGAGGCATGGTCACACCTCTTCCAGCCAATAAAACCCCCGGGCTGCTCCCACAGAGAGCCACTCGGTGGAACCTCTTCTTTCCATGCTGTCTGCTTTGTGTTCAGGCACAGGACCCCCAATAAACCATGTCTGAGTTGAACATTGGCCTCTTGTCAATTTCTATGTGTGAGCCAAAGAGGCCTGGGCCAGTGTCACATCATGTCTTCCCACCTCCCTGTCCCGATTCCACTGGTATGCCTCTTTGAAAGGATTTCAGCTTCTTCCTGAAGCTTCTTCCTTAACAGTTTCTTCAATCCTGTTCGCAATTCTAACTGGAAAACATAATCCATGCTCTGCTCTCTTTGCCTCCCTTCACTTGGCCCAGAGGCATGTATGTAACATTTCTTGTTGGGTTTCCTTTTCCCCATGCAAACTGCCCAGTGGCCCTACAGCTTACCTGGCTATTAGACACTAAATCACTTTTGATTTAGCTAGGATTCTAATGAGCCTAGGAGAGATTCTTAGAAAACACACTGCCAGCCAAAGTGATCAAAGATTTAAGTTCTTGCTACACGTCGAGAAATGCCTTGCACAGTTTATGTTTTGGCTGTAGGGCATGGGGAGACCATCAGCGTCCGTCCAAAGCACCCTAAGCCCACTGATACTAACAAGAGACAATTGCACAGAAATGGTGAATCTGGAATTCAGCTTGTTAAAAAGGGTCTTGTTTAAGATACGGGGTGTGTCCTGAAACACAGCAGCTATTTCCTGAGCAGGCTGTGGGAAATGAGTACAGAGGATGTAAGATTCAGGTACATAGATTCAATCCCAAAATAAAATAAAACATACATGCTTCAGAATTACAAATTTTTAAAAAGAGTAACTGGTCACCAATAGTCATAGAAACTTAGACCAAGATGATAATGAAGTACAATTTTACATTACTCAATTTGGAACAAGCAAGAATTCCGGTCAAAAGCTGCATCTGATATAATTTGATCATTATACATGATATACAGATATTAAAATATCATGCTGTGCCATATATGTGTACACTTTATGACAACAAAGAATCTGCTTAAATTTGAAAAAAAAATCTGATTAAACCAACTTTTAGAAGAGATACAGATCAGCAGAACATGCTAGTAGGGAAGGCAGATAAAAACAATAGAATCTCGGATATAAGACAACCATCATGTAAAACACAGGATCAATAACCCTTTCAATACTCTTTTTGCTACAACTCGTTGTTTTTGAGTGGTTTTCATTTTCATTTCTTCAAAACAGTTTGTTTTCTCTTACTAAATGCTTCACTGACTCAGAGGTCATACAGTAGTATCATTTTCTCCAAGAAGGCTTTTTGTTTTCTTTTTCATTTCTTAATTGACACATTGGTCATTCAGTAGCATGTTATTTAACTTCATGGTACTGTAAAATTTTTAACTTTATTCTTGTTGTTGATTTTGCTTTATGGCTGTTCATTTAAGGGGATATATAGCAATGATGTAATAGAGACTATCATATCCAGATGTGAAGATTCAATGCAGTATGCATCTCTGCTTCCAAACCAAAGATCGACTCTCAATGAAACTATTAAATATATCTTGACAATAGGATGCTGGACTATCTGTCATTGTCCATATCTGCTATGTCAGGATACACTTAGATAGCAGAATGATGGACTTATGACAGTTTATGAAGAAGCATACTATCATAAAAATATGGGAGAAATCAGTGGGGAGAAGGCAATCCAGGGAGGGGAAGGGAAATTCCAGGGCCTTTAAAATTGCATCATAAGATAAAAAATTGAATTAAAAAAATAAAACGTTAAAAAGAAAGTAAATTTGCATCATAAAATTAAACATTCACTCAACTTCAATACAAAAATTCCAAAAGAAATTCATATAAGTGTGTCCCTGCCAACCTACACAACAATGTTTCTAATTGCAAAGTCATAAATAGCCACCATTTCATTCAGCAATGAACATGAGTATCTATGTCACAGGAGAGCATATGTCACAACATGCTGAACTGTAGACATAATGTAGGCAGGAAGATAGCTGGCAAGGAGAAGGTGAGGTCTTGCCAGCTCCTTGCAGCCTCGCCCACACTGCAGCATTGCCACCACCACCAAATGCCTGCCCTGCCCTGAAGTGCCACTTAAAATAGATGCCAGCTAAAATAACCAACATGGCTCCCAGCTGCGTACCCATGACCATCTACGGCTCATAATGTCATTACAACAAAATTACATGCCTAACACTCCCACTTCCATTGTGCACCGGACACTATGACACTTCCAACATTTCTACAAAAGGACAAGGAAATGGCCAATACCCAAGCCCTTCCCCACTCCATTTCTTTGATTATTTCCTTAAGAGTTGTCTCAGATACCATCTCCCTTTTGCTTCCGGGTTATATAAAGCAACAATCCAAATCTCCGTGAGTGCAGCTCTCCTGAGCAAGTCCACACTTTGCATGTCAATAAATCGTGCGTTTTGCTAACCTTTGCCTCTATCTCATATTGAATCCTTTTCTTGCGTTGGAGACAGGAACACGGACTCAACCCCTCCACAAAACCTACACTATCTTGATCCCATACATTTCATAGAATATGTATCACTGTACCTTTTCATAGATTCAAACTTAAACAATGGAACATTATATTTCTTTTGCATTAATATGTGTGTATATGATAAAACTTTTGAGATAGATCCTGGAAATCTCAAGTTTCAGGCAATAAATACTTCGACAGGAAGGTAGAGAGATAAGAGAGAAATTATTATTGCTAATAATGCTCCATTTGGAAGAGAAGGGTTTGTGGTTATTTTATTGTTAATATCAGAGATGTTCTAACACAGGTATAGGCCACAATGCACCAGTCCTCTCACTGCACAGAACACACTGTTTAATCAATGACTGCAAAACGAACACCTCATATGAATGAAACATCTGAACTTCAATCACTTCAAGATCTGCCCCAACACTGAGTTTCGATTGACTATGGTGAGAAGCCCTTAAAAGTCACAAGAGCTTTAATCCCAGTTTCTCTTTCTGCACCTTCTGGGAATCCCATAACTCATACATTTGGCCTTTAAACAGTGCCTTTCAATTCTTGAATCATTTTTTTAGCTTGACCCTGTTCTGCTTCCAGCTTTTTCTTTGTTTTCCTCTAGTGACAGGAAATATCTTCCAGTTCTGAGACTCTTTCTTCTGCTTCCTTCATTCTATTTTGGAGACTCTCCACTTGTGCTTTTAATTTGCTCCACTGTATTCTTCATTTCTGATATATCAGAAATAAAGGATAAATAAAACTTTTTTCTGACAAACCAAAATCATGGAAGTTCACCAACACCAGATCAGCCTTAGAAGAAATGCATAAGAGAGACTTGTACCAAAACAATGTAACGATCCTAACAGCTGTCATGAACACATCCGGAAGAATTACATTCACTGTGAGGGTACATGCACAAACAAGAAGGGAAGAGGAACCCAACCTTCTCACTGCAAAATTAGGGAGTGATGAAGTTATTTACAAAGTTACATGAAGTTCTTTAATTCCATGTTGCTTCATCACAGGATGGAAAGTAAAACAGGTGGAACAATTCTCCTGACCGAACTCTCCAGCACGTTCCTAAGTCTATGGATGTACTAAGGTGGGCTTTGTTAACCAGTAAATCTTAGAAAGATTTTTTTTTTCTCAGCCCTGAAACGTGAAACCAACAACTTCTCAGAACTATCAAAACCACAAGTAACATCTTCTGAATAGTCTTCCCCCCATCAAGGTCCACCCCCAGTCCCTGGGTGCCCATGTGGTTTGACAGCAACAAGAGGCCTTCAGGGCCTCTCAGGGGAGAAGAAAACAATGAATGTATCATTTGTCTCACCCACCTTCCTCCACACCTGACCCTCCCCACCTTAACTATGGGCCCAGGTGAGGTGGATTCCTCTCAACTATGTAAACTATATTAAAAAGAAAATCTTAAAAAACAACAACAACAAAAAACTTTTTCTAAAATTATTCCAGAAAATTGAAAGGGAAACAATTTTACCAATCTCATTCTATGAGGTCAAGACAAACACAACAAAACAAAAATTACAGACCGATATCTAGGACAAATCTAGATACAAAATTTTTCATGATTAAAAGAGCAGTTCAGCACAGACAAGTCAATACACATAATAAATATCAATAGAATAAAAGACAAAAGCCATATGATTACCTCAATGGACAGGGGGAAAGCATTCAATGCAAAGAAAAGCAGCATTTTTCCACCGGGATGCATTGAACACAAAGAACAAAGCCCTTTCCCACCCCAAAGCTGAAGCAAAAGCAAAAGTTTGAAAGCCAAGACCGCCCCCCTTACCTCTGCAGAAAGGTTCACCCAATCACAAAACAATGCTCTATACTCACTCGCCCCCACCTTCTGGCAGCACCAGCAACTAAAGCTCCTGTGGCCGCTCAAAGATGCTCCAGGAGAAACAAGCTTAATCACTAGGCCATCACTTAGTGCCCTGGACCCCTGAGAAAGGAGACCACACATCGTATTCATTGCGCACGTCAAAGCTAACAAACACCAGCTCAAATAGAATGATGGAAAGAAGCAGTCCATTTGATGGGCTCCTGCCTGAGATCACCCACGCTGTGCCCAACAGGCTAATTCTAAATAATATATGCTCTTTCCACAACTGAATGACTCTACAGATTAGGTATCTTAATAGTAGACTAACTGAAATGAATTAAAACGGAAACGCCATGTGCCAAATACTCGTGACTCATTAAAACCAAGGAGGTGAAAGAACTCTACACTGAAAACTGGGAGACATCCAAACACCAAAAATGGAAAAGACACCTCACGTTCATGGATTGGAAGAATGAATATGAAAATGTCATGATTGTCCAAAGAGATTTTTTTTTATGTTAATGCAATGCCTATCAAAATACATATGGTCTTTTTCAGAGAAAGAGACAAAATACTCTTAGAATCATAAAACAGTTGGAAAAGCCAAACCAATCCTGAGAAAGAGCTGAAGATGTCCTTGGCTTCCATGCAGACCACAAACTGCAACAAAACAGCAGGGACTGCATGAAGAATCATAAATAGCAGTGCAACCGAGTAACACAGAAATGAACCTACAAGTTGACAACCAAGGAATCTGGGACAAAATCACACAGACTACACATTGGAAAAAGCACAGACTTTTATGAGCAATTCTGGGAAAAATACATTTGCGTATACAAGATAAAAAGCAGATTCTCATTCCCTTATCTCCTACCATGTACAAAGTCAATTCAAAAGGGATTAAATATATGACAAAAACTGGAAAGCTAGCCAGAAAAAAATGGGAA